AAAGTATTTTTTTAAATAAACGTCGTTTACTTTTAAACCATTGGAGATAATCTAATAAAAAAAATATGTTCTGAAAGCTACATTTACCAGGATTATAAATATATACCAGTGTATGGTACTTTTTTCGAAAAAAGTAGGTGAAAAATTTTTTTTCTTCAGGACACAGCGGGCGAATTTTACTGCGCGTCGGAAAAAAATATTTGTTTTATCCATGAATTCATACTATTTGGTTCATAAGCAAGTAAGGATTTTTTTTTGAAGGGACGCGCGCTGGTAGCTTGAAGAGCTTTTCCAGCTTCACCGGGCAGAGTGGCGAGTACAGAAGGTACTCTAGCCGTTTGGCGATCGTCGGTGCGCGTGCCGACGAGGCCGAGTGTGGGCTTCGCGAAGCGAAGCCCAGGCTCGTCCGCGTCAGTCGCAGACCGACGTTCGCGATCGGGCCGTATCGAGCGCATAAGGCGCCCGATCAGTGGCGAACCCAATTAGAGGGTTGCCCACCGCGGTGTTGGACCAAAGTCCAGCCTACGGCGGGCTCACTCTAGTGGGCCCGATCGAGGGGACTACGGACGCGGCCTGAGGGCGCCACGGTAGGCTCGGACCTCGGCTCAGGCCGTGTCCGGGGGACGGATAGGGGAGAACCGGCCCGGTACATGTCTGTACCGTCCGAAATGGAAGGCAGGGCCTCGTACTCGCCGGCGAGTACGGTGTAACGAGCTACTGTGTTGTGGAGTAGTTGGCGTGCTTAAGGCAGGGTATCCTTCCGTTTGGCCAAATTACTTTTCGCCAAATTTCACTTCGCAAACAACTTATCGCCAAAGTTTCATTTCCCAAATGAACTTTTAGCAAATGAACTTTTCGCAACTATTTCATTTGGTCAAATTATCATTTGGTCAAATTTTNATGTTGTCAAACCGTGACGTACCGCGCGGCTGTTAACATTTATTTCAAAAATATGTCCGAGTTGGAATACTGTATAGATAGTATTACCGTGGCACAGGTGTTTCGAACGCGATCAGTGGTCAGTGGGTCTATTAGTAGACTAGTCACACTTTTCGAAAATCGAATCCGTCCGAATATAATGTCAGATTTTGCCACTTGTCTAGGGGGCAGATCAATTCGGGTGTTTTCGGTTGCTATCGTGAGTGTGTGATTGAATAGCGAAAATTAAATTACCTAGTTTACTTGCTGCGTAATCTGACTGAACTGCATGCATCATGTCACCAGACCATCAGTGAAAAAAGATCACCTTTTTTATTTGGCAATATTTCGACATTAACAGATGTTTACTATTTATGTATTCGTCATTAGAGTGAATAGCCCAGAAAAAGTAATTAGTTTTTTTAAAGTCCTAATGCCTTATATGGCTTTTTTGTAACTTTTTGGACTTTAAATAAAAGCCGTCATTATTATAAGCCATTTTATTGATATTTACCTCAAAGATTAATGTATTTCATTTTGTTAATAGGAAATTGTCGTAGTTTTTTAATATCCGGTATCCGGCCGGATAGTGAGTTACTATCCGGTATCCGGCCGGATAGTAAATTTAGGCCGGATATCCGGCCTACCGGATAGTTACCGGATATCCGTTTCATCTCTAATAATAACTTTATGTTTTTATGTAACTTTTGACAATGCATGTTTAGTTTGTAATTTTGATAAAATTTAATCACCCAGTGTTATTTTTAAGAGAGGTAAATAAGTGTAAATAGAATTTACGTAATTACGTGAAATAAGCTTGTTTAATATTTAGGTATGTCGATTATCTAGGTACCTACTACAATCGCTATGTTAGTACATAATTAAACCAAATACCTACTTACTTAAAATTAAGGCGTATGGTGAAAAACTCGCTATGGATACGCGTCTACCTTCTGTTACTTGAAATGTCAACCTTACGGGAGTAGTAATAAGAGCGTATCGCTGACTTTAGCCCGCGAACTACATTGCCCGCGTGCATTATATCATTAAAAGTATAGTTAACGTTCGAAAATTTGTTGGATTATTGATAAATCTGTTTTAATATATTATCAAATGGCCAATAGATGTATAAAAATGGACGGAGCAATTATTCACACGACGTAATTACGTAAAAATAAGAACTATAACATAGTAAAGGAAAATCTATTGGATTACTGTGAAAAGCTATGTATTTGAACATATAAAAGCGTATTAAAAAATAAAAATCAGCAGAGCAATTTTTCAGTAGAAGTTATAGTGCAAAATGTTAAAAGTTAAATTTCAGGTATCTCTGAAATCGAAAAAGTGTTGGATTCTTTTACATACATATTCTAAGTAGTACATAGGTACGTATACAGAAAGAATTTCAGGCTGAGAATTTTTACACAGAGAGTTATTAACGATTATCATGTTTAGGTCAAAAAACATAACTTCCCAAAAAAAATTTTGTTGGATTTTTGCATATCTATGATCTATATTACCTACTTTCACCATGTGCCAAGTTTCATTGACGGACGAATTATTCGGGTTACAAACGCCTCGTTGATTGGACTAAGGTGACGGCATGAGTGTTTGGATTGGGATTATTTTAACTGCCACTTTGGCAGTGAGTGCTTTGGGTGAGTTGCCTTAGTAATATAATTATATGAAAAATGCCGTATCACACGTTTTATGATAAAACACCAGTTCTTCGACTTGGTGCTAGCGTCAAACTTGCAACTTTAAACTATTTATTAGTAGGTACCTAGGTAGGCACGTTTTGTGACGCACTTCAAAATCCAATATTGGAAACGGTGTCTAACGTGTCTAGATTATGAAAATCTGCATTCAGCAACGACTTGTAGGTAAAAAAATCACCATGAAATTATATTCCTAAAGTTAGCTTGAGACTCGCTCGTGTCGTAGGCAGCAATTTTTATTCATTTACCTTTTACAGCGGAGTGTCCCCCCGGAGAATACAACCCGGGACCGGACTGCAGCTTCGAAAACATCTGCGCCATTCCCGTCGCGCACTCGTACCGCGAACACTACTGTGACTGCTGGTGCGACCCTGGCACCACCAGGGACTCCATCACCAAGAAGTGCGTCAAGGAATGCCCGAACTATGCACCTGACTTCACTATACCTTATTAAGGTCAGATTAGACCTTTCTATGGAAAATCCATCGTATATATTAAAGGAAATATCACCCACTGATTATGAAATTAATGTGGTTATACTTATACGAGTAGGTCATGTATGCAACAACGATACTAAATTCCCCCTTTTTTAAGATTAAAGATGTAGTGTAGTGCTTAGTTAATAACAAATAACGATTGTTTTGTTTTGTTACTGAAAAAAATGTGATGATACCGGATTAAACCGGTTGCATAATAAGCGTAAAATGAGTAGGTGCTACTTATTAAGACGACGTTAAATATTTCACATTTAAAATCTGTTGCATTTTGCATCCTTGTTTTGTTCTTGTATCCTTGTTTTGTTCTTGCATCCTTATTTTGTTCTTGCATCCTTGTTTTGTTCTTGTATCCTTGTTTTGTTCTTGCATCCTTATTTTGTTCTTGCATCCTTGTTTTGTTGTGGTTTTGTGATCGTTCGTACATAATAAATTCATTTCTTTATTTATATCATTCATCTATTGTTAAGATAACATCGTACATCGTGAAGATGATAATAGGAAAATAATTATTAAATAAATTAATTTAGTTCAAATCTAAACTGGTTATTATTTACTAAACAAATAAACAATCAGCAGTTCCGTATTTAAGAGCCCTGAGGTTCTGTTAACTTCTGTTACGCCCGTATTCATAAATATTACTATGAGGTCTCACAGTGCGCGTGGGCGCACAGGATGACACACGAACCAATAACAGAGCTCTATTTCAACGCTGTGGGTTCGATTTGCTGCTTCACGTCAAGCAAGCATTGTTTGTGAATACGGGCATTAAGTAGTCAGTTATTGAAAAGGTGTCGACATGAAGTTGTGGATCGGTCTTTTGTTGGTTGCCACTTTGGCGCTGAATGCCATGGGTGAGTAAACCTTGGTGCCTTAACATCTTTATTCTAAGTTCAAGGGCAATAAGCTTGGGCGTACCCAGGGGGGACCCCCATGAAAGTCGCTTTGAAGGAACTAAGTCAAACGATCTGACCTAAAAAATCTGATTGACGTAGGGAATCCAGATTAACATTACCATCTAGACACAGTGCCCTGAGCACGAACAAAGATCATCCTGTAGACATAGGATGCGCGCCGCGATAAGCGGTTTTCGCACCATTTTATCGCTTTGCCCATACATTTTGAAGTTTAAAATCATCGATGAGTAGGTATATCACGGCGTGCATCCTAGCTCTTCTGGTTATGGTATGGTAATTGTTAGATTTGTATGAAAAACAAAACAGCACATCTACGGTTTTATAGGGAATATACGAGAAGTCATTCGTGCTCGGGGCACTGGTCACGTTTTGTGCATTATTCTTATTTCTATCACCAACCAAAACAAAATCTGGAATTATTACCGGTCGTTGAAGACTCCGGTGACCTCGAACAAAAGTTCTTATTAATTTATAACAGTATATCGCCAGCCACGAAAGAGTAGGGCAACAGGGCCGGATTAACCCTTAGAAGCAAATTAAGCATTTGCTTTGGGTATCACGTCTTGGGGGGCACCAAAAAGAACACAAAATATTTGTTAGGTACCTACTACATAAAACTATTTTCCGAGAATTAAAGACCCGAAAAATTCGCATTTCTTTGTGTACCTATTACGTTATTTTTTTATGTAAAGATCGATACTAGTTAACGAGGGGGCACAGGTGTGGCATTGCCATCAAGTAGTCTTAATCCAGCACTGCAGAGAATGCAAGCAAGCTCATGGCTCAGGCAAATCGAGAGAAATACTAGGGCACCTTCTGCAGTTGTCATAAGTGTGGTTTTACAATAAAAATTTAATTATTGTCCGATATGCTGCCGGCGTTAATTTAGGTACTTGAATCGAGAAGAAACAGGTTTTTAAGATTATTATTTAGGTGCTTAAGTGGCGTATATAAGAATCCCAAGCTTGTATTCGTTGTTATTGTATCAGTTAAACAGTAACAAATCAACATGAGAGTTTGTATCATACTTCTGGTGATTGCCACTTTAGCAATAAGTGCTATGGGTAAGTTACCTGAACTAGTTATTTATACACTAGGTTAAAACCGCACACCCATTTTAACGTAAAAAACATGAATGACTCAGTATCTGTCATAGATAAGCATAGAAGAAACACCAATTCTCCTCAATTCAATATGTGATGTCCCCCAATGATTTCTATATTGCCCGGTTGGTAGCGTCATGTATCCAGGGCCTTCCTGCTATCTATAAGGTTGTCGGTCTGCGTCAGTGGACTTTGTTATATTAACCTACACTTAATTTCAGGCGAGTGTCCCCCCGGAGAATACAACCCAGGGCCGGACTGCAGCTTTGAGATTATCTGCACCCCGCAGCACTCAGCACACTACCGTCCCGAACACTACTGCGATTGCTGGTGCAACCCTGGCACCGTCAGGGATGTTGTCACCAAGAAATGTGTGAAAGAGTGTGCTTACCATAAAGTATAATTTTCATTGGTTTCTGTTGTTTTCTTCTATTCTGTTCTGCATACAAAATTATTCTTAAGAAGGTACTTTTTCATATGTGATTATAAACCGTAAATAAAATGCATTAGTCGATCAACTCATAATTTATGTATTTTTACACTTATTTCTAACAAAATGTAAGTTTATATAACATACATACATACAAATTAAGCACCTATAACATGAAAATTCAGTGTGTTATGACATGAATAGCCTATTATAATTAACAACAGTCTTAAATTTAAACATACCCTTGTTGTACTTTGTACATTAAAAGATTGCTGCACAAAGTAGTACACTAGTCAGGACTTTATTTACAAAATTATTACAAAAAGTTTAAATGTGTGATGAACACTAGGTACTGTAAAATATGGAAATATGATTTTCGCTATAAACATACAAATCTGTACTATATCACATACACACAAGGGCATACCGATTGTACAAATTAAAACACAATGGGTGCGTTTGGCAGAAAAAAGCGCTCAGAAGTGCTTATAAGCAAAATGGCTATCGCTAAGCGGTTACTGTCACTGTTACAAAATTAATTAAACTCATCACTATTGAAGTTAGCAAATGTGTCCTTGCTGACAACTGCATAGTTATTAGTTTTTTATCAGCGCTAGCCATAGCTTCCAAATGTTTTTTTCAGCCAAATGCACCCAATGATTCAAATCTTTGGCCAGCAAAAAGGAATAAGTTAATGTACCTTGTCTGAGTGTTATGACGAATTCTTAGCTTGTCTCAGATGTTCCCAAGGGTCTTGTAGCATTGATGGGTGGAGATAAGATTCAATGTTACTCTTATCGTGTCCGTAGCTGCTGTTTGAGTCACTCTGAAATCAAAAGTGAACATGAACTTTTAAGATAATTTTGTACGACTTATTGTAAAGATTACATTGATTATAAGAGATGACTTAAAATACTTACACCAAAACTGCTACTCCTGTGAGAGTTATTTCCCCATCTGTTATTGTGGCCACCCCGCCGTTGATTGTGTTGCTGGAAACGATTTTGATTGTGTCCTCGGTTGTTATGACTTCTATTTTGCCATTTCCCCTGAACTGGCGTGCTTTGGTTTAAAGGTATAAAATCATCAGACATATTTAGAGATGCCTTTTGTCTTAAATAAGGAATAGAATGTAGTTCTTGACTATTATACCACGCACAAGTTCCACAAGTTAATAATAAAAATTCTTCGATTTGTTTGTATGATATTATTTATTATCATTCAAGCAAGCGTGCCACTTTTTAAACGTCATTAATGTCAACAATGTCTGTAATACCGTGGATTTTAGAGATGGGCGCAACATAAACTCATAGATTCATCGTACTGCAATCGTAAAGTCATCGTATTTCGCTCGGATTGCACGCGTCTCGTTTACAATAACAAAATTTTATTTTGTAAAATGTATGCTAGCTGATTGTGAATAAAATAATTTTGTCGCGTAAGTGTAATTTCCATAGTTAATTAATTATTATTCTAATTTGCATATATTTTAATTTAACAAAATATACCTTAATCAAGGTAATGCCTGTTTGGATTAGCTAAATATCGCAAGTAACTGAATATTGTGTAAACAAAAAGTGAAACAACGCCTTTACTGAACTAAATATATTTAACTTTAAAATAATTACAAAAGTTATGGTGTGGCGTGTAAATAGCCACNTTACGTTTCCCAAATGATTTTGCCTGCAGAGGAGAAATAGTTGGTCCCACTAACCTCTGAGCCAATCTCGGGTCCCCTTCCGTCAGCTCGACCACTGCTGGCACCGGGACACTCCGGGATGAAGATGGATCGGCTTCACTTCCCCTGCAGGGGGTTCAGGTCACGAGCAATTTGGGCTTTGAATGCGGAGATGCGTTTGCTGCGTATGCGTTGTGCGTTATGATGCGATTTGCGGGAGATAAAAGTGCGGTTTTTTCACTCGCGACACTGCGAAGATGTGCGTTGCGTTTAAGTTCTTACGGTGAAGTGTGTCAAAGCTTGACGTTCAGAAACGCCAAGAATGACCACAGAGATGTGGAAACCAAACAGTTTTCTACCTGCAGACAAAACTATTTGGGAAACAAAAATAAACTAAAGTTGAGCGTACATCTGCGTAACCAGTTACACTCAAAATATAATCAAAATAACTCCGTCCGACTATTCAAGTTTACACTTCGAGGTACGAAAACGTAGTGGCGCTCCGACGACTGCGTAGCTTCTTTTATTAACTCGCCCGAGCGCCGCAGTGGCGCCATCTACGACGAGTCACGCCATCTACGCCGGGTGGCGCCATCTACAGCGAGTTACGACAACTTCCGGCTGCATCTTGATTTTTCGGCGGCAATGACGTCACTTCCCACCGGATATCACAATAAATAATTGCGATTGCCAACAATTGCTGATATTATTATGTCCAATGGTGGACACACATTGGTTTCCTCAAATGATGAACATACTTACATAATCTACAATCGATTTGCTCAGTGGTTTACCGACATTGACGAAGTGAAGAAGAATGAAATTAATCTTTTTTAGACTGTCCTGTGTTGGATATTCCCCTAAACTATCAAAAGGCCATCATTCTGTCAGATACCAGCTGTTGGCATCGATATTTCCAAGCTACTTTAGTCATAGATAAAATCTATAAGATTACAATTAAAGAGCCGAAACTTGCACAAAGTTGCAAAATATTTAAAGAAAACAAGTAAAGATTTAAAAAATTAAACATCACTTCATTATATAAAAAATATCGCAATTAATTATTATTGGAATTGATTCGCGCGTTGTAACCCGATGAAATCCGATGACTATACGATTCCAGTACGATGAAACGTTTATTTTTACCTGCGGCATCACTAGAATCTAGTTATGACATTAGGGGCGTTTAGCCGAAAATAGCGCTAGTATAAGAAAAATGTCGTCATTTAATGATTTAAGTGCTAGTACGCTAATACTTTTAAAAAAATGTATGGAAAAACGTCACTTTTGAAGTTAGCAAACGAACGTGTGGCTTCGCCACAAACATGCTAAAGTTTTCGGCGGTTGCCATGGCGATCGCCATTTAGCAGTACTTATATTCTGTGATTTAGCCTTAGATTAATAAAGCTTTATTAATCCTAAGGATTTAGCTAACAATTTCTAACAAGCACTATTTTCGGCCAAACGTACCTTTTGTCAGGAGGGCGCTTTTATCAATACGATTATTAGTTCCGATTTTTACCACGTTGAACGCGAGGGGATAAGACACTTACAGGAGGGGCGCTACCATCAATACTGGGTTTTGAGGTTTCTGCACTTAATATTTGTTATCTGTGTGTATTTGTTCCGCGACTGGATGTCAACAATTTGTGAGAGCTTAGTTTTTTGTTGAAAGAAAATCTTGTAATTCAATGAATAAATAAATCAAAATTGCAATGCATGATTGATACTTCAGTATTTTATTATAGTGAGTGTAGTGGTTCTCGTATCAGAGATGTGGGTCCCCTTGAAAACTCCTAAATTAGGAGTCGGTAAGTTGACGTTTTAATTCAATCAGCAGCATTACGATACACATCCTGTCCATAAAAACGGATATGCAATAACATGTCTAGAATATTAAGTCACTTGTGCTCTAAAGAACAGATCCCTAGTACTATAATAGTTAACATTAACATTATACTTTGTTAGGGTGCCTGCCTATACTTACCCATCATTATTAAAAAAACAACACAGCCCTATTATTTTTGTTAATTATTTACATAACAATGCTCTTCTAATGGTCCTATGAAATCCTGGTTTGAGGAGCTTCTATTAGAAGATCATACAACAGTTGATTAGTCTTGCTTGACTCAGGTGTGGACCTATTGTATGAACTTCAGATAAAGCACTGTGATCACTGCTCAGTGCTGCCACTGGTAGATGTGGAGCACTGTGAGGCAGTGGAGTCTAAGGCTGAGTTGCTTCACTTAACTTTGACCATAGCTTTAACGATAACCGGTGTTTTTTGTATGGAGTTTGTCAGATTTTTTGTTTGTCAAAGTTAAAGTAAGATGGTGCAAAAACCCAGCCATACACTACTCAAGTGTAGCTTTCAGTCATAACATGGAACAGGCTGAATTTCTTTTGCGCATTCTATTTTTTTTTTTCAGTTTAATGAGTCAATATTGGTATTGGTAATAAATGGTGTTAATATTGTATACTTAAATTTACTTCCAGGTGTTTATAATTGGAAGGGAGATGTCCGCTCAGGCTTGCCACTTGAGATTGGAGAAACGGTCCAAATATTAGAAGAAAATGGAGGTTCGTTTTCGTATTTATTTATTCATTATCCATATCTGTGCAAAGAATGCTAAAATATAGCCAGCCCAAAAGTTGGTTACTTAGTTCAGTGAAAATAAGTCTCAGTGCTAATTTTGCTGCCTAAAATCTAATATTAAAAAGTATTTTGTAGTTCTGAGCAGGGTATTTGAATGAATGAAGCAACTTACAATGAGTGTTTTTACTTCCAACATTGTAGGTTGGTATCGGGGCTTCAGTGTTAAGAACAGGTCTGCCTGGGGCATATTCCCTGCCTGTGTTATATCCATCCGACCATGCACTGTCAAGGGGACAGGCCCCAATGCGATTGCAGAACTCAAAGATGATCCCTTGGTCCGAGAAATAGCAAGTGTTTTGAGAGAATGGGCGCGATTGTGGAAGAAGCTTTATGTGGTAAGTCCTGATATAAATTTTTACTTGATCACATTGCCTACTTCACAGTTCATAATCAGATACGTTTGTAAATCTGAGAACTTGCTTCAACACCAGTGATGCATGAAGGACAAGATGTAAATTGTATAGTAGGAATAAAATTAAATTTTATGACAATACTGACTGATGACGTTGCTCCACTTATGTGTATGTGCTTTGCAAATACATATTTTACATTTTTATGCTTAGTAAATCTTTTGTCTGTAACATGTGACTCAGCGTTTAGCCATGCTTAACATAACTAACTATAATGTTTTCCTGCCATTCATACTTATTGTACATTTTATTTATCTCAATAAGAATGGCAATTTTCCTTTGTATTTCATATTGGTAACCATCTAAAAAAGTAATAGTTACATACTGAATTCGATTCTTATTTCCTCTAAAATCAAGCACTATTTACAGATACTTATTCCCGCTAGGGTTGTCACTTCAAGTGTAACAGCGAGTATCTTACAAAATTACGATTTAGAAAATTGAATTTTTACTTTTCAGGAGCGAGAGACGTACCGGTTCAGCGCTGTAGCCAAAGTGATGAGAGAGCTGCTGAGTGGGCGTCGCGCTCTTTTGGCTGGCACTCTGACGCAGGACCAGACGAGAGCACTGAGGCTTAAGCTGGTTGCAAAGCTAGACTGGGGCAACAGGTTAGTGGCTTTTTTGGTCTGTTTGCTCATTTTGCTTTACCAGTTTATGCAGATTTAAGGTGTCATATCAGACTAAACATTGTTGTTGCAAGTTTGTATTATTTCAACTACATAAGACAACAGTTGGCCTTGCTGTGTCATTATCTGTATACACGAGTATAGCTTGTGGTAAAAAACGGGCAACTGGACTGCGTTGTGATGACGTAATTGCTACTGAAATAAGACCCCTAGACAAGTTGCACTTTTTGATCGAATCGAAAATCGAATCCGTCAAAACTCCATACAAAAAAATAGGCCTTTCAACTGGTTTGCAATTATAATGTGCACTTTGTCTAGGCCCAAAGGTTGCACTTGGCTTGCACTAGTAGCTCGCAATCGGGTCTTATCGCGTAGCTAAAAGCAAGCCGTGTAAATTGTTCATTACTGGCACTGCGGAATCACATCAATATGTCAACGCCTACCATAAACGTACAGACAAATGTTTGAAATCTTGAAAATAATTACTGCCTCTTGTGGCACCTGAATCCACGACTTTTCACTAAAGTCCGGTCGCCGAGCACCGAGCAAAATGTGCGACGGGCGGTCGCAGTGAGTGTGCGAGCACGATAGCAATATAATTACGCGCGAGCGATAAGGATGGGTAGCTTGGGGTCATTAGACGAAATTCTACATGCTCGGCGACCGGACTTTAAGCTCTGACCACTACAAAACTAACTTCTGCACTAAAAAAAGATACATTATAACTGAAACTAGGTATTTTTTAATTCGTAGGCGTAAATATTTATGGTGGTGGATTAAATAAAATTTCTCTAGCTTCACATTAGACTTACCTTCTCGCTTCTTTTTCGTAGATCTGATCTTACCATAACAATATAATACTTGTTTGTGTGTACAGGGGGTATAAGGGATTTCTGGTGAATAAAAACAAATTAAATTATTTTATATTGTTTAATTCCAAGAAAATACACAAATTACCTCGATTATTGTCACAAGAGCAGTCTTCCTAATTGTACAAAATAATCAGATACGATCAAATAACTTTCAATGCAGGAATGATGAATCGTATCTCCTAACTACTTCATGCTTACAATAAGCATAATCTAGTAATCTAAAATTAACATAGGTATTGTCACAGGCATACTGCAGATAGACATTTTAATATCTAGGGTAAACCACCCAATTATTGGCACTTTAAGCAGCTACTTCACAAAACCGGTAAAATTTGCATGTAAAAATATGTTTTATCAAAGAAAGAAACATTTATTTATATTGGTCTTTTAATCTTTGGAGAATATTATAAAGTACTTATCATTAATAAATTAAATCATTTATTCAATATAGTGTACCTTTTAAAAAATTACCTCAAAATACCAGTTGTTGGCATAGCCAAACCTTTTATTGGCAGTGATAATTACCTATTATTGGCACTGTTCTCGCAAGACTGAAAAATAGCTGCTAGGTCTTATGTAGAGGTTTTAAAGAGATTCATGATAGAAATAAACAAAATAAAATCCTTTGTTAAAAGAAAAGTAACATTTTTTTTGTATAGGAACATACCATATCAGTTCAAACGCTTATATTTAAATATGGTTTTAAACTTTCCATAAACACTTTTATTAAATCTTCTTTTCTCTTCGGAAATCCTTTTTTGCTACTGATTTTTATTTTATCCAGTCAACAAAAAGCTGTTCTTCCTCGTCAGTTAAAACTGTGAACGGACCGGGCTTAGAGCGATGATCAGGATGTTTCAATCTGAATTGTATAGTAGACCGTGGCACCACTTTCAAAGCCTTTCACAGGCTTATTCCACTAATCCCTGTCAACGGGGATTAGTGAACTTTTTATTCATTAATCCCCGCTAACGCCAATGCAGCTTATAATGGGTATTAATGAACTAAAAAGTTAATTAATCCCCAGTACGTTAAAAATAAAATACTAATGTAAGAATCAGGTACCTTCTATTTATTATTGGATAAGAACTCACTTACTATTTTTATTATCTAATTAAATTAAATTTAAGACTGATTACAAAACTTAAAAAAATTAACACTTACTTGATTAACCGAAAGCACTATGGATATTGAATCGTTATTCCCCATTCATCGTTTAAAAGAAGATGGAAACGATTACATACAAATTTGGGCCAAGATGTAACAAGATAAAAATGGTGTAAATTAATACCTAGCTTTGTAATCAGTCTTAAATTTAATTTAATTTGATAATAAGAATAGTAAGTGAGTTCTTATCCAATAATAAATAGAAGGTACCTGATTCTTACATTAGTATTTTATTTTTAACGTACTGGGGATTAATTAACTTTTTAGTTCATTAATCCCCATTATAAACTCCATTGGCGTTAACGGGGATTAATGAACAAAAAGTTCACTAATCCCTATTGACGGGGATTGTCAACGGGGAATAGTGGAATAAGATTTTGAAAGGCTTTGAAAGTGGCTGAAAAGAGAATATTTTTTATTGGCACCTTTTTAACCAATGTTTGACACCCGTGCCAATAAATGGATTTTATATAATTGGCACTGGGCCAACATTTGGATTGGTGTATCCAAAACGTTAGAAAATATTTTAAATGCAATTTAAACTCAATTTTGAGACAAACAAGGTATAATTTTTAATAAACTCAAATTATTTTAAATACCCTTTTATTGGCATGTGTGCCAATAAAATGGATAAACAGATTTTACGCATACCAAATGTTGGCACACCATAAATAATTAAAAGTTGGCGGTTAAATTATAAAATAATGTTTTAAAAAGGCAGTTAATATATTCAATAATAAGACAAAATGATTATGTATAAGAAAAACAAAATAGATTTGCATTTTTTTAAAAGATTATGATAGCTCTTACCTTAGTAAAAAACGAATATTTCGATTGTTTTTTCCGCACAGGTCCCGGTTTGTCAAACAAATGGTTGAAGCGCCGCGATGTTTGAAAAAATAAAAAACGTGTGTAGCCAGTTGAGTAATAAATGATATTACTCTACAATTTCTACTAAAAAATATAAGGTTTGGCTACAAACAATCTTAATTTTCTTAAAAAACTGGAGCATGCCAATAAATTGGTAGAGTGCCAACGATTGGGTGGTTTACCCTATTTTGTTTTATTATGCTAGGTGTATGGAATTATAGAAAGAGATTCTATTGACACAATTATGACTGAGTCTTACAGTATACTTATAGTAGTAATATCGATATGAAGAGTCGAGTATCGTGGGGAATCGCCGAAAGCATCGCAGACACATTTAAAATCCAAATAACACGTGACTGTTGTAATGGCACAAAATTTGATGAGTACAGTAACGTACAATAGTACTTTACCATTTGCACCAAGTCCTATCTAACACTTAATATAACAAAAGGACACTTCAATAGCATTTTCCTAAATATCAATTTATTTTTTCCATATATTCACAGACCGCAGTAATAATCTTAATTTATGTTAAACGATTTCATAGGAATATGTAGAGTAGGCATTTCATAAGCATAATAAAATATATTTCATTAGTAAGTAATATTTAGATTTGAGTAAAATCTTTGACTCTAAGTAAATAAAATAACTTTCCTATATTTCGCTAAAGATTTATAATATGGCATTTTTTGCACACGTGCGATTGGTGGTATGATGACTTTATTGAAATCAAGCCAAATAAAGCTTTAGCAAAAATATTCTTATTTATGAAAGACAATGTAGATGATGTCTTTTTATGAATTGAGATAAAACTTAAACCTAAATCTGTTGAATTCAAGATACGTCGTCAACTAAGGCTAAAACAAAGCAAGTAAATAGTAAAAATACTTGAACATAGTATTCACTCTCTTCATTTAACCGAGGTCGTATCCTTAAACTCACAGCATTAGCACATTTTACTCCATGCTGCTTAGTCAATACTTAAAAACTTACATTAAACAATATTACCAGGTGCTTCACGTGACTACAACAGTCAGTACCAAACAATAACAGTGATATTTACTAACAGCAGCCATTTCACACTTTAAATATCATATGCCTTGTATTATCAACGAATTTCGACTACTTTATGCACATTCGCATAAACTCATCCATGTTACAACATTCACTAAATTTTATTGAGACCCCAATTTTAAAGCTTATGCCTAGATGAAATATTTACTGCGTGTAAAACTAAATTTGTCAATAAACTATCAATGTTGCCTTAATTAATAAAGGAATGTCATGATATACGTTGTCTTGTTTTTCATAAGTTCGCCGGTAGGTATTGAAAGTGAAACCATATGAGCAATAAAGACATCAGCAAGACACATTTTTAGCTAAGTCGTCACAAATGCATATTCTGTGAAATCACTCAGAGTATGGTCTTTATTAAATTTCCTAATGTAATCGATTTCACGGATATATGATTTGGACAGGAGTCAACTGTTATCTAATATTTGATAGATGTATGTAATGCTCTAATGCTCTGTATAGAGTGGCCCATGGCAAGTGGCGTGTCATGAACATGAATTTTAAGTAGTTTGTTGTAAGCTGACATAAATGGAGATCGCTAAAATAATTAACTTGCCAAAATTTCAGTCTGCTGACGATTTGTATGTAATAGTAAAAGTTACAAGCTGTTGAAATGTATAAACAGTAGATATTACCATAACAAAACACTGTGTTAAATTATATTTATGTTGTAACCGTCAACCCGATAAAACGTTATTCATTTGTCTTTCAATTCAATGATCCATTTACGTCATTTTGAAACAAACTACGATCGCCGCTCGCTTCGTTTGGCCGGTCCTAACTTCACTTACGTCTCGGTCTCCTTCGAGAACTTATCGATGTTCGGGTAAATCGGTGCCATCTCTATGGTTGATGGGGCGGAGGGCGCGTTGGATCCGAGGTGCAGCCTTCGGGACAGCTCGTCTAAAACTTCTCCGAACACTCGCAGAGACATGTTCTGACCCAGCAAGTGTAGGAGTAGGAAGTCGCCAACCTGAAAGGATATACGGATTTAGTGCGTTCATTTGTTATTATGACTGTATTTAACCCTCACAAACGTGTTCATAGACATACAAGGCATTTAGATAAATTAAATACTTTACATAGGTAAGCTTTATTAACATGTTCATGATTTCATTCGCTTTAAGCTCGCTTTTAAACGTCTGTTTTGGTTTCTCCCTGGCTTACAGTGTCATTTTAGGAGGATAATACAATCGACATATAGATTTTGGCATTGCGCACCATAGGTATTTAGTTTTAATAGGTGCGATTCATAGTGTCATAGTTTGTAGTTTTTACTCCACTGCGCCAGAAGTAGGGTTATGTTTTTACCTGAGTTTTCCTAACAAGTGCCTCCACTCCGTTCGGCGTTCCGAATCGGAAGCGTCTCTTGAGGATCGTCTCGCGCGTCCTCGGCATCAGGATGACAGCTGCGGAGTACACCAGAGCCAACCCAGATACCACTGATAGGATGATGAACCTGAAAATGTTCATTTTGTTATTACGTCATCGTTTACTTTCCGCCTGACTGGTTTTAATGAGGGACTATTTCCACCTCTCGTTCCCACCGCTGCAATTCCTGTGTAGCCAGGATCAACAGCTTGACTGCCAATAAAAACCCAAGCAGTGAAGGTAGAGTTTGTTCCGGGAGAAAGTTTGTCATTGGACCCGCAACGAAAGAACATAGGAGTTCGAAGTTAAGGTTCGACTGGCGTGACTGGTTGGGTCTATAACTTTTTAATGTGGTATTTTTGTGTCAAATTGGTTTTCTATTCTAAGTTTAGTTCTAGCTTAAGACTAAAAAACCGCGGGTTTCAGAATATGTCTTTAGGTAGGTATTTCATTGTTAACATGTCTTAAAGTTGTTGTGACTAAGATGTGTATGAATGTAAACGTTAATGCACTTACCAGAACCACAGGAAAATGAATATTTTTTCATTGAGGATGTTCAGAGCGAGGACACACAGTGCATCGTGTTTCTGAATTGTGCCGGAAGCACCAAATTTGTGGAAGGTACACTTGGTTATTCTTGGGAATACTTCAATCTGAAAACGACAAATATTATATTATCATCCTAATTCAAATAAAAGTAGCCTTGTTAGCATTTTGTGTAGCGCAAGGAAGATGTTTCTTACCATAGGGTCGGTACGGTCTTCTTGATTCCTATTCGAGAATTTGACAACGTCAGTACCATAAGTCAAGAAGGCTCCACCGAGGAATGTGTCCAAGAAGAAGATGTTGCCCACCTGAAACATGATTGCATTTTGTTCTAAACGTACCATTCTTACATAACTTTCTAGGGAACGATTTAAAACCATTTATCTGTAGGTATCTGTTAACACATGGCTATCCAATAGAAATCTCTTTATTCAATCAAGAAATTCATTACGTAAGACATTTGATTCTATGCTTTGCTATAAATTGACGATAAAAGTGTTGAATAACAGAATTTTAAGAATGCCTTCAAAGTGCAATTCAAGTAAACACGACTTTTCTAATAATATACATACCACGTTGATGAAATTCAATACTTCGCAGAAGAAGTAGCCGAAAGAGTATGCGTTGTGCATGTGTAGGGTTTCCATCAGGTACTGGACTAGGCGAGCCTGAAAATTTAATAAAATAGGGTAAGTTTAGTGAAGAAAAACCTCCGTAATCACGTAAAGATTTTAATTGTCCTACATTGAATAATGGCTGCCGAGTTGCTCGGATTCCTCTAATTAGGGACGGTCATCAAGTCTTATTAATTCAGCCTTTATCTCAATTGTTTCATCAGCTTGTAACTCTATATGTTATTCGCGATGAAACTGATCGCCATATAAAAGTGTCTACTCCGCTATTATTCAAATATTTTTTTCATAATTGCTTGTCATTGTGAACGATGTATCTTATTCAAGATCAAAATCGATTTACGCGTCGCGACTTTGCAAGATATACACAGTGGTTTCTTTGTTGAAAATACATGGCAATAAATCTGAATAAAATTCCAATGACACGTCATATGACGAGAAGTCCAATTCAACCGATTGCGCGGTTCACAGTCCTAGTGCACTTTGACATCACAAGCGAGTTATCCGATCACAAAGGCGTAGTGACTAGTGAATCATGATGACTACGTCCGTTCAGTAATGAGTGTTTACTATTTAGTAGTATTTACCTGTCGGTTGCTCTTATCATCCGCGATGGCTGCGACAGTTCCACGCATGCCGTCTGAGATCATGCGGACCTTCCCCTCTTCCCAGTTCTTCCACACCCAGTGGGGCAAATAGAAGAGTAGACCCTGGAATCACAAAACTATCAGTTAGGTACATTTCATTCGTTGTCAGCATCATTAGTTTTTATCTCGTCTTTTTAAACAAGAAAGAAGCTTGTATCGTTTTTTTGTTATGAAGAACAAGGCAGGTATTTTACGGCAATCGCACCGATCTTAATAAGTACATGTTATCAAGAGTCAACAGCTTTGAATATCATTTTAGCTTTATCAAAGTTCTCAATGTCACCTTGACCTAAGGTCCAAGCCGAGTAGATTTATAATACGCTGGCTTGATCACGACTCCCGTGCACCTATTAAGACGAGGTACAAGCGACTTCCATACAACTATAAATCGTTACCGCATCCAATTAATATCTCGTTTAGAACAATGCTATCCTGAGTCCATATTGAGTAAGATCAGCGTCGTAATGATGTCTCTAATTAATGTGATAATGACCATGCTAGGTTCACACGATCATGTAAATCATGTAAAGAGTTCTTATGTTCATTTGGGATGTATATTTACCTGGAAGAAAAGCATGAACGGCACCCACTGATAGTAGGCATGGATACGCTTCTCCTCTTCATAGTCGTTGCCAAGACCGGGGTGAGCGACGGCCTTCGAGTCGGAATTGGGCAGTGTGAACGTGTACGTGATCCAGCAGTAAGTGTTGAGTACGTGGCCGGGTATCGCGCCGTCGTTGATGCAGGCTATCGGGTCACCTGCAAGAGAAATGAGGGTCAATGGCAGTTTTAGGTATAGACGACTGGTGAACCTGTCACACAATTTTAGCCAATGGATTTTAAACTTTAATTCTTGAAGATTAAATGTAAATTAGGTTGATGTGCTGCACATGTATTTGGAAAACTCCCACGCAGATTTGTTTGGTTTGTAATAAAAAACTAATTAACCTATCTCTGTCCAAACTCAATTAGTCAAATATTTTTTAGTCGTCACTAATGTAAACACAAACGCCTGTTAACGAGCCACTCAGGGCGCAAAAACCACGCAGACATGATGACATTTAAGTTGTAGCACCTCGCATCAGTATCTAAATATAGCCGTAACATTTTAACAGTTACAGTTAATGTATCCCATGTTTTGTCCTCGACATTGCACTGCGCATGCGGATGGCGGCAATATAGCTAATGGCACTGCAGCTGCCCCCTACCTGTTCAATTGTGGCCGTGACTGATCACCTTGCTCGACTGAGGGTGTTACTATGGCTAGTATAGAAACTGTATTATAATTGTATTGGTCCTTTTGAATATCAAGGCTGGTTTTGCATAAGCCTAGGCGCAGACCACCGACTTTTAGTTGGCCGATAGTTGAGTCGAGCTGTTAATCAGTATGGACATGTATGAAAGTGCGCACACCTATTTGGTACCGGCCGATTCTTCATACCAATAAAAATCGGGCTCAACTATCGGCCAACTAAAAGTCGGTGGTCTGCGCCCAGGCTAAAAGTTGGCGGTCTGCGCCTAGGCTAAAAGTTGGTGGTCTGCGCTTAGGCTAAAACTTTTATAATAGTGTCAATGTAAACTTCTCTGACAATATTCTGCAACTCTTTAAGCTCCTTATTCTTTAGGTTTTAGAATTGTGTTGTGCGTTTCCAATCGAATATTACTCTAAACTTCAATATATGTATAGTGTTTTATCCTATTAGGCCTGTAAATTATTCCGGTCATTACTTAGTCATCTATAAGTTCGGGGTTTCACATGACTCATACGATCGGTGAGGGCTTTATTGTTTTCCTTGCAGGTAATTCTTTCGAGATTAATTTTAAATACTGATTATCTTTATTACAGCCTTTTTTGTCTTAGGCCATTTTCTACATGACCAAATATTAGTAAATCGCGGTACATGTAATAACTTATTTCCGTTTATAGAGACCGGTAATTGCTTAGTATTTTACATAAAGTCTGTTTTTATCAATAACTTATCAAGACTTGCACCTTACTTAGCCCTGGGGATCTGACTGTGCAAGCAATCATTTTATTAATAGAATAAACCCTATAATACCACATTGACGACGAAACTGGTTCTGGCAGGCTTTAAAGACCTTCATTGCGTAATGGAATTACAAATTCTAGTACAGATGTATAACCGTACTAACCTACATGATATAATAATGTTATTTATTGCCATTTTCGATCGACATTCAATCAAATACAATGTTGCTTTAATGAAGTCATAAACCACAAACGTGAATCTAAATACCACTTATTTATCACATGTTTAGAATAATAATAATACAAGTACATATTTTACCTGAATACTTAAGTTCTAAATACTGTGATGAGTAGCTCCTATCTTGTTGACATAAGTTTGGGTTGGGTTTTATCTGTAAGTAACGTGAGTAAACTGGAAGTGTTGAAATATATTTTTTGAAATGTATGTGAACATGAATTCACTTACACGCAGATAATTTTCAGAATAAATCATATAGGAGAAAATCGAAATTGCAAAATACATATAATTCAGAAGGACTTTTTACTGAATGACGATATTGTGTTTATTTTGTTCACAGTAAAGGTTGTTATATCTTTCAAGGAACTTCTCAACTTCATTTGAGAAATTAAGCAGTAGATATTACTCCATAGAAAGGTACTCGTATCGCTCAAAGTTAATAGTCTGCCATTTTGGTAGGCTCAATGATTAGGATGATGAACTGGGTAACGTGTCCATTTAGTGTAGTGTAACGAAAGAGTCCATTATGTCAATTGTTAATCTGGGTTGGTCAAGTTTGGACTCAATTTTCAATATGGCCACTTGCTATTTGTGTCATCAATATTAAATCTACTATAGTGACTGGTATTTTTATTAGCTTCCAAATGCGTGTGTGCCCAATATAGAATGATAATAATGTTTGACTTAATCTCAAACCTCACATTTGGGTTTGAGTTGAAGCAGTACTTAACAAAATAATATTTAGCAGATAGTAGTAGTTATGGTAAATCATTTATACAACCTACAAAGGAAGTTTTAAAATGGAATTTGCATAGAGAAATGGTTTAATGTCCTACGTGCAGTTAAAAAGATGCAAGTTAACTGACGCACCTATTAATCATGAAGTAGGTAATGCTACTAATGCAATTGTTTTAATGGAATGGTGACAATAAGTGCATAAGTACATAATGCATGTACACTCATGTAAGGAAAACAACAAATTTCACACAGAAAAACATCATTTAAAAATCATTACTCCATTGACTGCTGCAAATTCAAGAGTCATTACAATAGATAGGTATCGAGTTACTTGAAGTCACACGCTTTTAATTAACCCATCGAGCCCTCTCGGGATTATTAGTTCATTTGCCCGAGGCCAATTAATCTGTAACTTGTAACTCGTGTAACACTACAGGTTACAACAAAGGCCACAAAAACTAGGTGCTTTGAAACGTAGCTTCTGTTCATGGCTGATGTTCAAAAGGTTTAGGTCACGACCCAGATTTAGGAGAGCAAAAAATATTTACTCCAAGGAAAATAAGAAACACGCCACAAAATATGAATATTGAGTCTTATTGTTGATTGATTTTCACGCCCATATAACAAACATTACTATGAAGTCTCACAGTGCGCGTGGAAGCACAGGGTGACACACGAACCAATCACAGAGCTCTATTCAACGCTGTGCGTTCGATTTGCTGCTTCACTTGAGCAAGCATCGTTTTTTAATACGGGCGTCAGTTTATGGAATATGCCCATGATCTTTTTACTTGTGATAGCGTAAGCGTAATATTGTGGCAAATGACATAAATCAAGCACCTTAGTTTTGCTAGCCATTCGGTATATTTTGTGATCTATTCAATCCTCTCTATTTATAAGGCATCCGCACAATACGCACGTGCACAATGTTTGTATTGTGAACCAATATTACCTGGTTGCATGGGAAAATAATCAGGTTACACAAGTTATGGTAATCCAGTAAACGAGAAACTAGTTTGATAAGGACTAACTGCCCGAAGCCGATAAGTACTGACTGAATGCAGAAATTGTACAATCGCTTAATCGCCAGGACATCGGACTATACATTTTTAATGTAAAATCGTGCCTATTACAACCAAATAAGATATCACAGTGTGTAGCTTTAAGTAGCCGTTTTCAACCACCAAGAATGTGACTTGTATATTTTTGTGGGTCACGGCGAACCTCATGAACTTTACTGCCAACTGTCTGGTGCGTGTGATTTACCTGTTATTGTTAAAGTGTTCGAGAAACCAAAATATGATTCATTTTGTTATTGTTGCTCACATGAAACAATGCGTTTCGGGGTAAACGATAGAACAATCGGTAGGTAACTTGCAAATGTTAGTTGTAATAACATTGGACACTGATTTTGTGGTATTCAGCTTAGGATGATGACACCTTTTATGTCACGTAGAACAATTTCGATTGCGTAAGCAATATTTTTCATTGTGGAAAACCTTGGGGGAGGCCTTTGTCCAGCAGTGGACGTCATTTGGCTGAAACGAAGACGAAGACGAAGCAATATTTTTAACGCTTTTCAAGTTTAAGAGACATAGAAGTTCTTTCTAACCTATTTAAGCTGATCCAATTGATTGTACAAGCAATAATACATTTTCACGTAGTCATCTGTAACGACATTGAAAACTTTGTTTTCATTTTACGTGGTAAAGTTTCATGAATATTTTTGAATGGCTATTTTAGTTAATTTTAATAATTTAGATGTTAGAACTCAAATATTAGCCCTATAAATGCAAAACTGAACCCAATAAACAACGCTGATTGCCCGCAAAAGCTGATTGGCTTTGCAAAGTTTCAAATCTACTGCTATAGGTTGATATTGGCACAACCGAGCGTAAGAAAACAACCGGCGATTTCTCACAATGTGGGTCACATATGGCCGCGTGGCAACTGACATTATCGCTTGAGCTTGCAGTTAAATGCTGGATGTTTTGATTACTGCACCTGAGCGATTGGTACAGGCTGCAGCGCTATAACACTATCGTGCGCTTTGCTGACTAATGATTTGCAAGCGAAAGATTAAAACGTGACCTAGTGTAACTTTACGAAGGTATAAGGTGTCAGATGTGCCACATAAGGTTGTTACTAAGGGTCGCTCTGCCAACATAGTCATTATTCTTACTTATAAAACGTGGATATGACCACTGAATAAATAATGACGTAAGCTAAATTAAAGAACATAAAAGTTCCAATGAAAATTGTGCAATGTTTGTTTAAGAGATAATATTAGTCACAAGCACAAGTAAATGTAAAACAAACAAATTAACAGTGACTTTTTGAACATAAAGAAAACCAGTCAAGCGGACAGTCACTTTGGCTATATTGCTCGAGTGTGATGCAATATCGTACCATTCCAGTAAAATGTTTAAATTTTTACCCGTCGCTTGGTCATTTATTATCTTAAAATTAATTAAGAGTGTATGTGTTAAGTAAAATCAATACGTGTTTCCAATGTGGCTGATAAGCTCAGCTTCGTGACTATCTGCCTGATAGTTATTTATGCAAATTAAGTTGTTTGGTGGCATCTTTAAACACTAGACTAGAACCTTTAGATAGACAGTGCATATTGATTATTAATTATGTTATCCAAAATAAATATTTAAATTAAAACTTAAGTTTTGCAACATGTCATAAAATTATGTTGATTTTCAGGACAGAACAACTAATTAGTGATAATTTATTCTTAATCTATTCTGAGATGTTGAATATGTTGGAGGAAACGATTAAGATGTACTCCGTACAGTGAATTAAGTTTGTTTACGTTTGTAGGTCATTTACAAGGAGCACGCGATAACACTCGTATCTACATGCGTGAACCGCGGTATTATACAACAATTTAATAACATTTAACCATAATATAATGTCGAATTAGGTAAATTAGGTTAACTGGTCTAACGAGGTGTAAATTACTTTTATCGTATCGCATTGGTACCAAGAAAAGTGTGAAACGAGCTGCAATAAATATCTAATCACTGACTATGTTTTTCACTCGTTGATGTAAAAGGTTCAGTGACCGGCTTTGCTTCAATGAATTGAGTCTTATCACGTACGTTACTCGGTGTATTCGTTTGTACAACCAATTTGTCATGACGTCTCAATTTGGGTAACTGTTACAACGGGGTTCCTACTCTGAACAATGACCTGAAAATGACTCATTTTACACCAGTTACGAGATCGCTGTCTAGCCAAACTGTAACTGCGTTTATGGCATTATTTGTACGGCATGTTAGTTCTCTAGGTCAGTTAGGCTGAATTCTGACCATTCAATTGAAAGTTTCAGAACTATCTACTTCTTAATTCGATCAACTTTCGCTTCGCTAATAGATACTTTCTCGATAGTCTTCAGTAAATTCACAACGTTTTCATCAGCTACTGATGTTGCTACTACATCTAGCTAGCCGAAGGCGAAGCTTGTTTGCAGTAGCTTAATAATATGTAAAATAACCGGCTCATTAATATTGAACGAACAGTCATGTTTTACTGTAACGGTATCTACTTTCAATGCCATGTAATCTCTGCGACATACCTCATAAAGGTTAATTAGCTGCAGTAACTACAAGAGTTATAAATGTACAGTTTAACGAAGAAGAAAGACGTGTAGTAGAAAATGAACCAATTAATGTACTTACCAATGAGATTGTTGGCGGTGACGAGGATACAGCAGAGGAAGAGAATGGCAGAGGTGATACGGTAGTGCATACGGAACACCATGTTGTCGATGACAGCTTTGTCGATGAGGTAGCGGACCTTGACGAAGCCCGCCACCGCGGAGACCATACCAAACACCGCCATCTTGTTTCAATTCTTTTGTCTGAAAACAAACAACATTTCATTTAGATGCTAGTTTAGAAAGTGAAGTTAGAGATGAATAAATGTTATTGCAACCACTGAAAGTTTGTGAAAGTGAAACTACAAACATTTTAATTTAATTTTTTTCTTCTTAAATATTTTAATAAACTACCAAAAATGTAAGTAGCCCGTCTTCATAGTAATTTAAAACGATAACCTACACCCATGCCCCTATGCATAGTTAAAAAGATGACACTATGGGGAACGCTATAAATAAATAAACGCATCGTGACAAGTGCCATACGCTACCAATACTAAATTAGAACGTAAACGGTGCGCTTTATTACTGTTTTGATTCGACCAATGTGTGTAACAGCTGCGTAGACTCCTTGTTTACTGTTGATGTCTTCATTTTAGTTCGTATCACAGTTTTATTGGTACGCATCACGACTGTATGACTATTCACGACTTGAAATGTTGAAGAACCGTTAAGTGGTGTTAGGCTCAGGTACCTACCGATGCGGGTCTCAATCAATGACCTCACATAATCTAACGATGTCATAGAACAGCTTCTCGCCCACGCTCGCATGCAACATACACTTGACTTTGAATTTTAAAAACGTTTTATCAGATTGATATCGTCTTCTTCATTCCTGAATAATAATACCTACACGTGATTTCTTATTGAGTAATTAATAAAGAATGTGTTTCTTATTATTACTGGTCACTTAACAAGTTTGCATCATCTGACGCGTTTACGGTAATCGTGCTACAGCCTGTAGAAGTTTATAGGGCATGAATGATAGAGCAAGATTCTAGTATAATGAGTGGTTCCTACGTTCCTGTAAGACGAGAACAAGTGGTCGCTACACAGTCGCAAGAGACAATTCATCACAAATAGATCCAACCTTGACAACTTCTTGATCCCGTTCCTACGCGGTGTCGGCGTGGTCGGTCACATGTGTTATTTAGGTCGCGCGCAGGGACAATAATTGAATAGATGGAAATTTGAATTCTTCAGCCATTTATTGGACTGTCAATTGGAAGCGATCGTAATTGCTATTTCGAAATATTGCTTTTAAATCGATGTTCAGAGCATTTTGAACGTCTCGGGGATCTGTTGATGTAACCACGAATTAGCTTTGCACGAGTGAACTAAAAAACTGTTGCGGTAGTTTTTTGTTTTATTTGATATTGGACTATACTACACTCGCGAGCAAAAGTATGGAATCACTTACATGAAGTTGTTTCCACGCGATCTTGTGTACTAACGAATTTGTTAGTAACTAAAAAAGTAGCACCATTTTAAAGATTAAACTTTTAACTTTAAATTGATACCAAATTCATTTAAATAACACCGGTATTTAAAAAGATATCCCGACTGATGTGAAGAAGTAAGAAAAAAGACATGTACCAACTGTTTGATACGTCGCGAGTTGCGGCCTATTTACCCCCTAAAAAAGCACGTGTTTTCAGATTTTTGCGTTCACACATTGATCCATACACATCTCGGCTTCTTTTGACACTTTACCTGGGATTCTACACCTTCAGAAGCAGCACAAATCGTTGCACTATTGCAAGAAGGGCAAAGCCAGCGGGCTGTCGCACGTCAGCTCCACATAAGCCAGTCCTGGGTTTCAAAAGTTTTAAGACGCTTTCGGGAGACTGGTGGCTTTATCCCGAGACCAAGTTCTGAACATTGCCGGTGCACATCGCAGAGGGAAAGCTAACAGCTATCCTACGAACATTTCTGAGCTCCTGCTGGACGTCGATACCAGTCAAATGACGATTTCGTAGAGAAGTTGACATGAAAAAACGGTTTTCCCTCTGCGATGTGCACCGGCAATGTTCAGAACTTGGTCTCGGGATAAAGCCACCAGTCTCCCGAAAGCGTCTTAAAACTTTCGAAACCCAGGACTGGCTTATGTGGAGCTGACGTGCGACAGCCCTCTGGCTGAGCCCTTCTTGCAATAGTGCAACGATTTGTGCTGCTTCTGAAGGTGTAGAATCCCAGGTAAAGTGTCAAAAGAAGCGGAGATGTGTATGGATCAACGTGTGAAAGCAAAAATCCGAAAACACTTGCTTTTATGGGGGGTAAATAGGCCGCAACTCGCGACGTATCAAACAGTTGATACATGTCTTTTTCCTTACTTCTTTACATCAGCCGGGATATCTTTTTAAATACTGGTGTGATTTAAATGAATTTGGTATCAATTTAAAGTTAAAAGTTAAATCTTTAAAATGGTGCTACTTTTTTTGTTATTAACAAATTGGTTTGTACACAAGATCGCGTGGAAACAACTTCATGTAAGTGATTCCATACTTTTGCTCGCAAGTGTAGATCCGTCAATTTGGTCTGTATTCCATTGAATTTGCTAGCATAATCTTGTGATCGTGTTAGGATGGTCTGTGAAGGCGAATGTTGCGCCGGCGCAGGGCATGTGGCGGGTCGTCGACCGCCGCCGCTCGTGCGCCTCCTGCGTTTTCAAGTCCCCGCGCCCCCCCTCTGTTTTACCTTCCCGACCCTGGGTGATGCACCGCCTGGCAACGCGAATTTTACGCGGAAACCAGTTTGCGAAGCGACAATCTTTACCGACATTGGCGGCATTTCGCGAGATCTCGACGACCGATTAGTTTTGGATGGAAATATTTTTTACGCTCTTAAATGTTTTCCAAAGGCGATTGTTGTAATTAATCGTTTGCCGTTTGCCGTTATAATGGATTAACTTCTTTTTACCACTCTATAAAAACGAATTAGTTATTTTTTAATAAGAATCCCGTTTCTCTGGCTCATTACCCAAGAAATTGGAATTTGGAGTGTAAGTTTGCTAAGTAATAACTGATAAAGTAACAAGCTAAGCAGCACACTGCGAGGCGCATTCCACCTTTTATGACATGCGCAGGCGCACAGACGCGGTGGGCCCGAGTCTGGCCCTTTGCGGCTTTAAAACGTATCCTTGTTTCACTCGCCAGTTACCGCATCCCATTTATCATTGGCCATTCGCGGCTTCGTAATAACAACGTTTATAGTTTCCGTCATAAAAACCGAATTTGCATAAAGACACGTCGAAATAGAATCACGAGAAATTATAGGTTTTGTTCTTCACAGTGGATGCTTCAGCTAACAATCTCAAGCATGTATTATCATCAGCTGTACTTATTTAAATTGGCTGGCACGCGTCGGCGCTGAATGGACACTAATTGCGCTGGACGCGGACACTGAGCATCATCCAGACATGATATAACACAACCTGTTCGTGGGAATGGAATCCTGAGTGCTCTTGGACAAAAGAGATTCTGAGAGCTCCAACCGTGTCTAATGACACGAATCGACCGGTTTCGGTTCAGTTAGGTAACTAAGAGATCTGCGGATTGCAAGTGAGCGGCCCGTTTGTCGCCTCTGTTGTAATTTACGTGGCTCCGATCACGCTCTGTTACAAGAGCATTCGCTCATTTCATTTGAACAGTCGGCGAGCACTGAAAATACAGACACAAAAAGAGCACGAGATAAGCGTCACTTCGTTTCCCCAGATAAGCGCTAAGAAATTCCTCGTGTGAACATTGATCCCTTCGGCTAATGCCGGCTATTCGTGTCTAATGTAATTAACTCCTATTGACTGCTTTAACGAGGCTGTTCCTCTATATTACCTAGAGTACTGCAGGAAAACACGTGTTTGGTATATCTTAGATGTATTTTCTATGAGCTTATTGATAACCTAAAGCCGATGGTCTGGCCTGTGACTGGTTATTGTCAGAGTTGTAACATCTAGTGATACGGAAATGTGCGTGCGTTGCGGTTACGCCAGCTGCAGCTCGGATATCATATAGGCTACGGTTTTTTGTTATTCACGCTCTGATAAGCGATTGTAGAGAGCTTTTGCGACAGTGTCATAATTTTTTTTTTTATCAATAAGGTCAAAGACATTGTGGGAAATACTTGGCCGCTTTGTGAACAAAACAGAACAGGCGTTGTGATCCTTATACGGGTTAATTGATATCGCGTACGGAACGCGCATGCAATGAGGCTCTTATCACGATGACAATACTCGTCGGGACTGCGGGTGTCCCAAGGTTCTTATTCCTGTGCCATAGATGCTAAATTGGTCTGGTTTTATAAAAGTATAGATGAGGTAACATTTTTTTATCGCTACGACTATGATTTAACACGATTACTTGAATCAACTCGTGAAATTCCGATTTGATTCATCACAAATGACAAATTATGTGTGATTTTTAGAAGATTAGATTAGAACTGCTATTCAAACGTATTGCTAGAAAAAAGTATGAAATCCACAAAAAAGCGATCCCAAAATTCCCTTCCGTTGACAATTTGCTTATCGCTGATTGATATTTATGGGGTAAAGGGCACTACTGGTTCAGATTCCTATATTAATGTATGTCACTCTTATCATTTCGGCCTTGCATTAACTGTTCAGTTAGTTGCGTAGAAACGAGGTTTATACGTCTATTAAAATTGCCACATAAAGTACCATAGACATACCTAGTTATGATTGTAATTTAAAAATACATATTCTTAGTATGTTCAAAGTGCCTGCATGTGAATGTAAGTAGGTTTTATTGCATTTGAGGTTATCGCCAGGCGCAGGAACATTATGCAGGTGCCGTGAACCGAACTGCGTGACAGGAATCCAATGAACGTGACCGTTTGAACGCTTTTTGTTTGTCCCAGAACTCTCACACATAGTGGGAAACTAGTAATATGCTGCTCTTGTTTTACATTCTATTTGTTATTCAAATTAGGCTCTGTAAGGAATATACTAAGCTTTTTGACTCGTGGGAATCATCACGTAGGTTGGCTATTTGTGGAATCGATCATTAGTTAATGATCATAAAAGTATTCACGATCTATTAAAACGTACTCATTAAACTGTGCCATGTACAAATGAAAGGAAACAAGTTATGAATCAAAAAGTATCATAGATATTGCGTATAATTATGCATTCATACAAAAATGAGGATCTAATCGCACTATTATTATGCTGACAAGTTACGCAAGGGCCCAAACAACAGTCTTAATGACCTAATTAACTAATTTCGCCCAAAAAACTAATTATAGAATGTGTCACTTCACAATACAAGTGGTAATATTAATTGCAATTTGATAACAATTACTTTAGGAAATAAGGAAGTGTATTTTATTTATTCAGAAGCAAAATTCTGAATTGAAATCTCAAAGTTCGCATCCGGGTTGTATCTTAATTAGCAAATTATGTTTTTGATTCAATATTGCCGCGTCCTTGGCGGGATCATCTTCAACCTGAAGTCTGTGGACCGTGAAAATATCACGTGCTGTGGTAGTTTATTCCCCTTGCTTCATCGGCGATGTTCATTTCACGTGCTATAAACAACTCGAACTTATGTACGTTCGTGATAACCGTGAACTTAATCCTTTTGTCTAGATCCTTGCTTTGGAAACGTGGTAATTAACAGAAGTGTGTTAAAATGATTTATTATTACTACAAATAGTTTTGTCCATTCTATTCAAATATTATGCCTGGTAACGAGTGTAGCGTCCCTTCCCCTACGGCCGCTCAGGTAAATGGAGACACGGCCGCTACCTGTGAGAAACTCCGACACATCGGACCCCATTAGTCCCACCATAATTTGATAGATGAGTTATAAAATGCTATGTCCGGTGTTATCGAACATTTCAATATGCTCACCGAATTGGTATCACTATTATTCGTTACTCACAGAAGGCAGACAGAATAAAAAAGAAATAAGATGAGTGTATGCACAAGTCTTTTGTTCCCGCACATGTATGCTGTCAAACAGCATTCCACAGCTTGTCGATATGACTTATGCGCGTCTCGATTCATCCCAAAGCTGAGCTTTTGTGACACAACTTACCTTTTTGAACCTAACAGTAGTTTTTCGTTCGCCTCCGGTTTCTCTTAATTTTTATGTTAGCACGTTGTCTTTTGCACAACACAACAAACACAACCTCACTTGTACATAAAGAGCGCCTTTACAGTTTTACGTCATGATATTATTGTAGTAAGTCATGAGTTAACAAATTAAATGATGGAGTAAAACGAGTGGCACTGCGGGCGCTGCATGCGACACGCCAGCTGCCCGTGGGTCGGAAACACAAACTGGAAAGCGTTGTCGGCCGACCTCCTGCACGCCGAGTTGCGCGCGTGTTCACTACCGAACTTGTGCTTGCTGCGTGTGCGCAGTACGGCTGTCTCTGTCCCGCAAGCGCGATCCCCCTTCACTTACATCGGCCCTCTCGCTCTCCCCAAACCAAGTAACTGCACGGTAGTCAGTAGCAGAGAGAATTCGTCGTTGAACGAGTTCTGTGAGGGTCTTGACTTTTCGTCTCATGTGTTTTCTCCGTGGGCTATACTTTGAGCTTCGAATGCCAATTTTTTAGACGAGATTATGATGACTGGTTTTAACGAGTGGGAATCGCCTGCGGCTGTTAATTAACACATTGTCGGATGCAGTAATTTATAAATGTGCCATTGAATTAATGTTGTAATGCGGCGTAACTACATATTACGCCTACGATTTTTGGGAATTTGGATGATGTGATTTTACTTACTTATTACATTAAATGATTGATTGATATAATATGTAGGTATTTTATGTTGATTCTTTGCGGTCTTCAATTTATTAAAGGATAACATTTAAATTAAAAATAACACCTAGGTACTTTGTATTATTCCCGCAATGTTAGTGTAAAGGCAAAGAAATCATTATGAACTAACTAAATCATCTCCGTTATCGGAGACTGGATTGACAGCAATTCGTGGCACAAAGGTAATAATTGTGCTCGATACATACGATTAATAATTACTTTAAAAAAAACATAAAACGCTTGAAACGGATAAAAACATAGTTTTGTTGAATTCGGTGTTGCATGCTGCTGGAACTCACGTTTACCTTGTAATATGTAAATATCGATAAGAATGCATTTTAAACTTTCTAGGTCGCTTAAGTCACTTTATCGGAATGATTTGTGAGTTTTATTATGTAACGCAGCTGTTATGTAACTTTAAGCTAATTATGTATTCTGTGCTTTAAGTTTTATAAAATAAACAACGTGTTTGTTTGTCGTTTTGGTCTAAAATTTTGATTACTGTTAAATGTTAACTTCGTGTAAAATCCCGTGATTCATGAAAATTTTATTTAAACTATAGTTATTTCAATTATCTCGAAGCAATTCAGGCCATTTTCGACCGCCTGTAACTTCGTTGTGGATAAAACTAGAAGGCTGAATTTTCATTAGCTATGCAGGCATTGTAAAGACACGGTATATTTAAAATTTCATTCAATTTGAACCAGTAGTTTAAGAATTATAACGGGTCAAAGTTACTTAATTTTGTCACTCACTGACTCACTGACTGACTCACCGATCATCAAAATTCTAAGGCACTTCTAGCAGACCTAAAAGCTTCAAATTTGGAATATAAGTAGTGTTTGGTGTATGAATCAAGGAAAAACTAAAATATTTGGGGGCACGGTAGTGCAACCGCCAAGTCGAGTAAAATTTTTCAATTTCGGTCCAGTTTTCTAGATACATAAGATCCCATCAAAAACAATACTTGTCAAAAAAACCAAGTCTCGCAACTCAGTTGTTCTACGGTAAAAAGTTGTGAGATCCATGTAATACCAAGTCCAGGCCAGGAAATCTTTAACGTTTTACATAAATATATTAACTTGGCCATCGCACTAAATAATTTAATTTACACGTGTTTTCATGCGATGGCAAAGTCAATATATTTATGTAAAACGTTAAAGATTTCCTGGCCTGGACTTGGTATTACATGGATCTCACAACTTTTTACCGTAGAACAACTGAGTTGCGAGACTTGGTTTTTTTGACAAGTATTGTTTTTGATGGGATTTACATACTTTCTCGTAGAAAATAAAGTTATAAAGAAGTCTATATCGTTTAAGAATATCTCTTCGCCCACATAGAACTTGTTTGCGACAGATAGGTAGATCTTTTTGCTGCACTGCATAATGTTGTTTTGGCAGCCCATATCTTTCCAATTAAATAATACATTATTCACTGATATGTTATGTCAGATCATCATATTTCAGCCACAACAGTGCACTGCTAAACGTAAGCAACCCTCAAAGAGTGCAAACAGAGACCTCCTGATACGCCATCCGAAACGTTCCACCCACTTCTTATTAGAGCACATCCAAAAAACTATTATTTTATTTTATGTAGGTATCTAAAGTCTTTTAAGCCATTTTTTATCATCATCGTCCGCACCGCTAGGTTTTCAGCCGGGCTAGAATACGCATTTTTATAAAATCTTATCGACGATTTTAGGCGACAAATGTATGAGCTTATCGTGCAAAATCGATAAAATGCCTCGATAAAAGTTTATCAAGGCGCGCATCCTAGGCCTACAGGTCAGTTAAGTTTGTCCCCACTGCCGAAAAAAAACCCTCCCCATTTTACCAGAAGAAAATAGAGGAGTTGTGTTGGCCTTTAACCCCACGCTTTGACCAGATGCGGACGCGTTTTTGTTCCTTAGTTGTTCCATTTTACTCTGGCGGAACCACGCGGTTTGGCACTTTTATTCCGGGAATATATCCTTTGTAGGGATACGCAATGGATTCCTTTACTAACGGAAATATACAAAAGCAGCGCAGCGAACTATGTCTGTGGTTAAGGCATATTAAAATGCAAAATGTGAGCTCAAAATTTAGAATTCACACGAGTTTTTGTATAGTCTATGTTCGGTTGCGTAAAGCCTAAAGTTCTATGCCAAAAAGATTTAGATAAACTGGATTTACCAGTTTGGATGTCGTCGTGAGTGATGCTATCCAGTCGTATTTGCTATATTTGCCGTTCTTACTTATGCAATAGCTTTAAAGCTTTAGTCCGTTACGTCTTTGGGTGGTTTTATTATTTTGGAAGATTGTTATGAAGAATTTGACTGATTTGTTTGAAACGTTCAATGGGATTTACGATAAGGCACGTGCCAATTTGCGAAGCAAGCACTTGCGAGCTTATTCAATTCTACTTATTTTGCGCTTACTATAGTTTCGTATTAGCTTCTGTCTGTCATACGGTCTGTCACAAAAGTCTAGTCTGGTCAAAAAGCATAAAATATAAGAGCATTTTTTGAGAAGTAATTGGGGCTTACCATACAAACTTACATCTTCATGTTGATCCCCTTTGATATTAAGTACTATAAATGTCGTATAAATATTAGTAGATAGTTGATGTTACCACTCTTCACATAAACATGATTATTAGTAGATATTTATCTGGTTATCTCGTTCTCCTTGCTGTGTACAGTTTTATGTTAAATAAATAATGTATCTAAGGACATATCTGCATGCAGCCTTAGAATTAAGTAGTGCCTAACTGATGTTTAAAAATAATTATGTATGTTATGGCAAATAAAAAATGTCGATGATAGATTACTCGTCCCGCATTAAGCTTAACACTGGTATCCTATATCGTTGTAGTAGAGGTCAAAATTCAACAAAAATGTATAGGTGATGTGCTGTCGACTGTCCATCGGATGGCAACGTGCCACAGGCATTGCCAGACATCAGCCAGTGTCGCTCGGAACTGGTTTGGCGACCTTTTGGTGCACGCCGAACTCGAGCCTCATCGGTCAAATCGACCTAAAATGTATATTGGCGTTCAGGGTTCAATATTTCTCGATTATTCTACCTACATGTCCTAACTTGCTATGACATGCCATTAGGTTCAGAAATGCCTGATACTACATAAGATATTTTTGTAGTTCAGGATTTGAAGAATACTAAGCATTCCCCGTGATAGAAAGGTGGGAATGTTAAAAAGTTTCATTACATACAGTTTTTTCTTCTCTGACTTCTGATTGGGGCAGTTTTTTTAATAGACCTCCTTATTAAGATAACATCAAAAGCGACTGCTGTGGGCGCTTAATCCTACAACATTTCAGTTTTAATTTAACTTTAAATTCTGTCAAATAACTAGGTATACCTATTATAATTTGTTTAGGTAAAGTAATTTGATAAAATAACCGCTGAAATAAATCAATTCATTTCATGGTTTTGAACATCCTCAATAAAGTTACGTGGTGTTTAATGTTTTGAATGAATATATAATATGTCACCAGAATTTATTTTTCCTCATTAGGTATTTGAAAGGGAATTACATTAAATCAGTTACAGGCGCTTAAATAGCGATTAGTCATTGTGTTTGTAACAGTGCTTCATACATGAATTTTATATTGCTACAGTTAGGTACAACTGCAGCTCAAATGTAATATCTAAATACCTAAAAAAATTGACGTTCAATTTTCATGACTGTCATTGAGTATTGTATAGTCAAATCTCCCATCGATGTCTACGTGATTAAAATAAAATATCTTAATTTAGTATTATTTTAGATAGTACGCGGAATACCACACAGACTAATATTTAAATTAACTGCCATTGTTTGGCAAATTCTGAGACTTGTAGTTTTTTTTCTTGTCGCTTAGCTTATACAATTTAAAATTATAATAATCGCCTTCATTTAATGAATGTAACTCCTCGCTCGATATATCTACTCGTAGCACTAAATCTATTCGCAACCTGCTGACTGCATTCCACAAAAGCTGTGCGAAACCTTTCATCGGAATTCAAGTATAAGCAACTCTTGTGTAATATGATTTCTTTCTATATGCAGATATGAGGTTACAAACTCGAATTTTATTTCAATTTAAGCTCTTTCACAAACCGTTAAGGCAGCTTTTTGCGTATGTCGAAAGCTGTTGTACGTGATTTGATTGAAAGCTCGGCTACAACGGCGATTACGTGACCGATTACCCGTCATCTAATTTGGCTTTTAAAATAGTCTTCTTAAAACATATAATTATGTATTCGCAGTCTTTGGCGCTTTAATTCGGGAATCGACAAGAAAATTTGAAACGTTTGCAGTAATTTAAAGGGTTTTTAACTGTTATTGTATTTGAACGAGCCGTTTATAGTTTAAACATTTTATGCAGCTTATTAATAAGAAACGATTGGCGGTCTTTAATGAGTACGGAATTAACCGTGGTCTTTTTCGTGGTTACGTGTACAAGAAACTCTCAGACTAATATATTTTTTATTGCAAAATCGCACTTACTGCAACGTCATAAGATGCCACAATGCTTAGCTTAATATGCATGTACGAGTGCTACATATTTTGGAGCTCGTTTAAGTCTTTTGTTTGAATGAAGGCTTTTTATTAAACCCGATGTTTAGATGGAGTTTAATGGTAAAGAACATATTTATGAAAACGAATAGATGTGCAAAAGATACACAAAATATAAAAAGTGTGAAACATAATGGTTCTGTTATCACAAATCCTGCGGAAATAACAGCAGGACTAATAGTAATAAACACCTTGATTGTCTGTGATTCATACAACAGTCTATGCGTCTATTTAAAACACAACAATAATAGTTAAACCTTTTAAAGACTTTGTTTGTTTTTTGTAAAACAGCACCTTTTCCCTTTGGAGAGGCGACAGCACATCAGACTAGAATTTTTATTGGAAAATGGCTTTTATCACAACCACGTAAGATTTACAGTGCTAAGCTTGATGTGCCCTCGTCTGTACCATCGTTTCAGCTGCGAGAGCCTACTTTATTATAACCTGTTCACGCCGCAGGTAATTCCCAGAATGTTTTTCAAGTGATTCATAATATTTGCGAGCTGTGACTATTTGCTTGATTTTTCCAAAGAACCAAGGGACCTGCATTCGTTATAGAATGTCAGCGTTTCACTTTGCGGTTTTATTACGCCTTTTTTGCGGTCGCTAACTTTTCGAGTTAAAAGTATTCGTCATACGGATTTGGACGCACGTAGGCGGTAAAATGTGCATGTTATTTCACTGAAACAAGTTGGCTTAGGTTTACTATTTCATTCATTTGTTTTATTCTGTACGTATGTAAGTACAGCCGGCGTCAAATAGTTCGTGATACCCAAAGTGGCCAAAAAGTCAACACAACCTTATCCCAATAGTAACAAAGACGTGATGCGAACTTTTTGGCTACTTTGGTTATCACGAACTCTTTGATGCTTACTGTACCACAAAATGCCCTTTCCAACGGCAATCCCGTTTTGCCAGATCCAGTCATGCAGAATCCTGCAAAACTGGACTGCCCGTGTCACACAAGTCTGTTTGAAATTCTAATTCCAAATTCGTACGGATCGGTTTTTTAAGGGATACAGCAAACGAGATGTTCCTGTAAATGTTAATATTAAAACACGTATACTAATAAACGGGATCCTGCAAAAACGAGATAGGTATATCCGAGGGAAAGAGCCCTAAAGAATGGGTTAAACTACTAGAATTTAAATAACTTAGTTATGTAATTAAAAAGTAATTATTGTCATGAACACGAATCACACAAATGCTGGGTCCCTTGCGAGATTGCAATTTGGTTCCGAGCTGAGGCCGCGTGATTTGTAGCTGGAGTCACTATTAATTTGACCCTGACTCTGTCGTGGAGTGGAGACTTAATGGTATTGTTGTGGTCGTTATTAGAGTACCAGATTTGTTTTTAGAAGTGTTGTGCAGATTAGTATTCTTCCATATAAATAATAAGCATACAACTACTAACAAATATGTGCGAAAAAGCGGGAAAAGTGGTCCCCTCTTTTATGTGGGAATGAAGTTACCTTAATCATTTCGAACTCCACTCTCAACTAAAGACTTATCTACCGCAAAGTTCATTGAATTTATAAGGCCAAAGCCTTGTACCTGCCTAAGTAATAAAAGAATTTGATGGCTTGAGTCCTGCTGTAGGTAGGATTCTGATTTGTAGTTTTTTTTCATTCAGTAATCTTAAGTGTTAACTTGCATTGTTATAGAAAACTCGGTCTTGAGCTGGTGCCACGCCGAGGAGCAGCTGCCGTGGAGCCTGAGGACATCAGTTTAGTGGAACTATACAGGGTGCACGTTGAAAGTGCAGAGCGCGCGGCAGCAGTGAGTAGTATACCTACTTAAAAATATTATTCAGATTTATTTAGGAAGCTTTTGCCCGCGGCTTCATTCTCTAAAATTTGGTTTGCCAGTTTTGCCACAGAAAGGTATAGCCTATGTCATCCAATAGGTAGCATTTTACTGGTAAAAGATTTTTGAAAATAATTTCCGTAGCTCAAGGGATTACTTCACAAACCGCAAACTTACTGTGATAGTCAAATTTGTAGTTTTGTATAAACTTTCTATCCTAGGTTCTGTCCGTTTTTGAGCTTTAGACAGTTACCAGTCATTATTAAAACGATGGTAACTAGCCGTGGAATATGCTAAGGATATTAAATAACTAGAAAGTGTCCAACGAGCACGTCTGAGTCTAGATAGCCCTGTAAACAGCATAACAAGCAGTTACAATGTTTGAACAGTTCAGCAAAATGTTTTCTATCGCGTACGAGTGTGGTTTATTCCACTTTGTTCGCCTGGGTGAAGAAAGTGGAATTTTTGGTGACCTAATTTCACCTCGGAACCATTTCACCCAGGTGATATCACCCAGATTAATGAGGAATTAATTCATCCAGGTCTTCGCATATTATGTTCACCAGATTTAATTCAACTTTTTTTTTCATTTTTATGTCGACTCAATTCACCTGAAAAATTAAGTTGGGTGAAATGGTCCCGAGGGGAAATGAGGACACTAAAAATTCAATTTTCTTCACCTAGGTGATATCACCCAGGTGAACAAAGTGGAATAATCCATGCGTGTCTTGTCTCGATGTGGCACATACGTGAACCTAAAAGGACATGTGCTTAGCCCCTTATTGTTATGTGTTATTATCGTTGCATGGTTCCACTGAACTGGCATGTAAGCGTGGAAACAGAAAAGTATCGCCACTTAGTTAATTAACGCAGATAATTACTTCAAAGTTTTATGAAGTGGTTAAGTAAATAACGGAGAGAAATACGTTATTTACGCTTTTGAAATGATATACATAGTGACTACTCGGTATTTTAAATGGTGACTTAAGTCGATATCTTAATGTAGGCCAATAATGATTGTTATTTTGTGATGACACTGGAAATAACGCCTGATAAGATGAAATGCAATTTTCCCTAGTTAGTTAATTATACGCAAATTTATGTTACAAGGCCCATTACACATTGTTATGCGCTAAACCTATACATAGTTAAATGTCTGGGTCTACCTGCGTTAATTTAATAAACAATCTTTATCAAACTGACGAATGTCTGCACTTACGTTAGACATAAACCCAAAACATCTTAATATTTTCCATAAACCTATATTTTTTCTACCCAGTGGCGTGGCACCCTCCGAAGAGCTGGCGGGTCTGGCAGCAGCTTCAACTCCGGTACCCTCACAAATGGCACCACCATCCCCACCACAGCGGCCCAATCCCACCACCTAATGTGCAGCATGAGAGACTTCGGACACACGGCCAGCGGGGACGAAGCTGAATTACTCTTATGGCTCCACGACGCGAGACGAGCTCAACCCCTATCAGAGAGATTTAGAGTCAGGATAGCGAGAGATGGGTTCTCCAACTACGTAGATAGACTCCACGCTAACAGCACGCTGTTCGCTGTAAGTATTGTGTGAATAACTTTACTTGACGTATAGCATGAGGGGATGAAGCCGAACTACTCTTATGGCTACATGACGCGAGAAGAGCTCAACCGCTATCAGAGAGATTTAGAGTCAGGATAGCGAGAGATGGGTTCTCCAACTACGTAGACAGACTCCACGCTAACAGCACGCTGTTCGCTGTAAGTATTGTGTACCATAAGGGACTTCGGACACTCGGCCAGTAGGGATGAAGCTGAACTAGTTCTATGGCTAAATGGCGTGAGGAGAGCTCAACTGTTGGTTATTAGAGAGGTTCAGGGTTATAATAGCGAAACACAATATTCATAACATTACTAGAAGTGGTGAGATCCCAGCATATATATTTATTTATTTAAGAGGCGTTAGGAAATCAAATTCTATAGAGGGAACCGCCAAATAAAATTATTATTTACATTCTTTTCATTTCTTATTTCGATTCGAGACCGTGACCTTATGCTTTGTTGTCGGGTTACTATTTATATGCAAGTAATTATTATTTACAATAACATAAATACTTTAGGTCGAGCGATAACTAAATCGCCTTTACTCCATTACACCGTGTACTTTTCGAAATTGCAGTGATTATTGGAAGCGGGTTTCTTGAACTGTCGTTTACCACATGAGGCCCGATATGGCGCGTCAAGTTTTTGTCTAGCGACCAGTCTGCTCGGCTAGTCGACTAGTTACTTTCCAGCTGGTCTAGCCGGACTGGTATTAAGATTTTGTAATCCCATCCGTTTCTTATTAGTTGACGCGACGGGTTTCGTTACAGGATGTGCGGAGGTAATATCGATGTGAATGTTATTGTACTTTTAAAGCTACAAAAACTGTAAACATTGTTGTATTATTTAATTAAATTGCAGTATGAGTAATGATTAATTATGGTGAAATAAATCAATCAATATTATTTGTGTTTACATTGAATCTGTTTATTTTAATAAGTAAATATAAAATTGAAATAATTAGGTATGAACAATTTTGAGCGAGAAACAACACAAATAAAAACACAAGTTTTTTTATTATGTCGGAAACAACCCCGGTATATTTCATAATTATCTGATAATAACTAAAATAATGGGGATGTGTTCCAGGATCTCTCAACGACAGATTTGTCCCGGGAACTATGGCTGGTAGCGTGGGTGGTTCGCGTGGGTAGATGGGCAGGAGCAGGGAGCAGTGGGAGTGGGACAGGGGAGAGACGAGGACCGGTGGCCAGGAGACCTCTAGGCGCAGGGGTACTGTCCCTGGCAGAGTTCTTGAGGCAGCCGGGACAGCATCCTAGCGAAAAGGAGTATACTTTTAAGGTATGTGATCACAAAAACCAGACAAAATTTGGGCTTAGGTAGCTTGGGATAAAAGACAGACAGATAGACGCAGGAGAGGTGGGCCGGTGCCGGGAGTAGTGGGACAGGGGAGAGACGAGGACCGGTGGCCAGGAGACCTCTAGGCGCAGGGGTACTGTCCCTGGAAGTGTTCTTGAGGCAGCCGGGACAGCATCCTAGCGAAAAGGAGTATACTTTTAAGGTATGAGCTCACAGGAAATATGACAGAAAAGCTTAGAATATGGATAAATGCAGGTAAATATAACTATTGGCATGGGTGGTTCGTGTGGGGAGATGGGCAGGTGCAGGGAGTAGTGTTATCAGACTTCCGGGCCCTTATCACCGGGAGACCTGACTTGAGAATGAGAAGTTTCTATTGATTGAGAAAATCTGGAGAACCGTATAAAAAAATGTTTACATGAACTTATAATAATATTATGTTTACTCATTCTTATTTCCAGGTTTATCAATGTGAGGAAAAAGACTTTCATCAGCTACATGATATGCTGATACGGAAACAAACAAACAAGTGCAATATTTTACCTGGGCAACCAAATTACGGTATGCATTTCGAAAAAAAATATCAATAAATGATATCGACATTATTTTCTCCTGAAAATGACTTATCGTGTCTATATCCATTCCAGGTATCGTGGTAGCTCTTCGCCTATTAACCCACACTGGGAGCATATCAGAGGCAGTATCCTCAGGGGCTACCATCACAGCCAAACGGGGATTCCCCGACGTGATAATGCCTGGAGACGTCCGCAACGACCTCTACTTGACCTTGGAGCGGGCAGAGTTCGAGAGGGGTGGAAAGAGCACTGCCAAAAATGTCCTGGCCACTGTCAGTGTGCATGATAACACGGGTCAAGTTATAAGTGTGAGTATCGTTCGTTCGTTTCAGCCGAAAGACGTCCACAGCTGGACAATGGCCTCCCCCAAGGATTTCCACGAAGACCGATCCTGCGCCGCTCGCATCCAGGCACCTCCCGCGACCCTCATCAGATCGTCGGTTCACCTAGTGGGAGGCCTGCCCACGCTACGTCTTCCGGCTCGTGGTCACCACTCAAGAACTTTCCTGCCCCAGCGGCCATCAGCTCTACGAGCTATGTGCCCCGCCCACTGCCACTTTATTTAAGCGCTTCTGCGGGCTATGTCAGTCACTCTGGTTCTCCTACGAATCTCCTCATTTCTGATTCGATCACGTATGGAAACTCCGAGCATAGCACGCTCCATCGCCCTTTGGGTGACCTTGAGCCTTCGTATGAGGCCCATAGTAAGTGACCACGTGAGTGTACTTGTAAAATATTCATCAACATCATCATTTCAACCATAGGACGTCCACTGCCAACTCCCAATGATTTCCATATTGACCGGTTGGTATCGGCCTGCATGCAGCGCCTTCCTGCTACCTTAATGATGTCGTGGGTGGACGTCTCACGCTGCGTGTTCCGGTACGTAGCCTGCAAAAAATAGGTAATTCATTCTTGGGGAAATGTATTACCATATTTAACAAAATACCACACAACCTTGTCGAATTGCCAATAAAGAAATTTAAGATACATATAAAAAATACCCTTATGTCCAAAGGGTACTACAAGGTTCGAGACTATATTGATGACAAGGATGCGTGGTCAGTTCAGTCTGCACATATTTGATGTACTTGAATTTGGTTATTCTTCTTACCGTTAGATAATTCCTGGCAATTAGTGGTGACTGAGTTTGTTCCGGCGTTTCTTCTCAGCACTTGCCATATGTTTGTCTGGAAGCGCTGGTAGGGCCCAAAAGATAAGGAGACATGTATAGTGCCTGCTACCTTTTCTTTTTTATTTTTACTACATTTTGACGTTCATAAGTGCCACTGGTGGTCTAAACTGAATAAATATTTTTGATTTTGCACTCCAGAAGCTTGCAGCCCCATCCGCATGTAAAATGCTCATCTTTATTAAATCAACTCAGTAGTTTTTTCCTGCGCTCTTGCCATAGAATCGTGCATTAACCTATTTAAACCCAAGACTTTTTGTCTTCGACGATTCTTTTTTTATAGTGATTTTAAGTGAAGTATTTTGTTTTCAAGTGACTTTTCAGCTTATTTTGTTTATTTATAACACTACAGGAATGCGTATGGGGCGCTAGCGGCAACGGCAGTACATCATACGAGTCGCTAGTGCTGTACCACAACAACAGCCCATCGTGGGGCGAGCAGTTACGTCTCACCGTACCACTGGAGACGTTCACTCACGCGCATGTGCGGATTGAATTCAGGCATTGTTCAAGTAAGTGTCATCAATGTAAACATTGCGGTAATAAAAATTAAATAATAATAGTAATGTAGTAATTACTAATTGGTAGTAATAATTAGTAGTAATTGGTGGCTTTTGCAATAAAAATGTCTTGACAGTTCAAACAGTTAATGCAAAAATAGTTCCTAATCTTTCTTATTTTCGAGAAACGCTAGTTAGATTCTTACCGCTGAACTGTTTGCTAAACACATTCCTAATATAAGCATATCTTAGCTGTGGAGGGGTAAGCAATAATTTTTTGGGAACAAATTACTAATACACTTTTTAGAAAAAAAAATCCCCTATTTAATTTCGTTTTTATGAATACATCTTTATGAGAACCATTACTGACAGAACATGGAGTCAAATACATACGTGTATATCGTGTTAAAAAGAACTGTAGATTTTGAATAAATTAAAATAAAATTTATTCTTATTTACTGTATCCTTCACCTATTGCATTTAAAAATAAATATTATATTCATCTTAATTTCAAATTTTAGTTTTGCATTCCACATTATTTATGTCATATTTACATTTTAAATAAAACAAACGTATTATAATGTTTTAGCTCGCGACAAGAATGAGAGGAAGCTATTCGGCTTCTCGTTCGCTCGGCTCATGGAAGCGAGCGGCGCTACGCTTAGGGACGGGGCTCACGAGCTGTATGTCTACAAATGTGATGATCCTACCAAGTAAGTGTATGATTCGGTTTATTGCCATAAATATTGACTGACACGGCCTGGAGGTAATACATATAATTATATTTATTAGAAACAATATCAAGTCACATTCCTAAAATCTTACTACGGATAGGCCGCATAACATATAAGCTTAATTAAAATCGACAATATGGTATCTCTTGGCCTGCATCTTACCTTTGTAATTTTAAATACTTTTTAGGAAGGTTTGACAATAATTTTCAGAGTTCAACCCCGTAAATATAATTCTGTCGGTATTAAACTTCCTTCAACAATACCAGTTGGTATCGAAGGCATTAAAACAGAAAACTCAGAAAAGATACTAAGATTAGTTTGATTATAAACTGCCGTCCATACAAGCTAAAGACGCTTGTGAAATGTGCTATTTTGCTACTAAAATATCTATAGATCTGAAGTTATTCTTCTTCTTCCAGATTATCTTCAGCCAGCTATCTATCGTTGCCTTCGTGCTCCACAGACACGATACGCCTACCGTCAACCAACGGGGTGGTGGCGTCCTTCCAAAGAAGCTCCAAAGAAAACTGCACCATAAACACGCTGCTATGCTCCACCAAATTGACTCAAAATGGTATGGCATGTTTTGTTTATCTTATAATATTTATTGTGTAAATAAGTTGACAGCTGAAATTTGCATGCAGACAAGGCTGATCACAGTTGGCATATTAATATTTTAATTTTTACTCACACCTCTGGGTTGTAAGCCAAAAATATTGGCATTATTTTCGTTTCTCTTATTAGATACGAAGCGATTCGAGAGGATAGATAAATATTTTTCTATACGTTATTCAATTACATTTTCTTGGCAACAGCTTTGAACGTCATATAATAATGAGGTATTTCATGACAGCCTAGAGAGAGAACAGTTAAATTCCTTTCCAATCATAAGCTTACTTTGACAAAGGTCTCCCTAGTCTTTTCCACAACGGCCAGTCCTGTAGGCCTAAGATGCGCGCCACGATAAACTTCGAGGTATCTTATCGATTTTGTACGATACGCCCATACATTTGCGTTGCGGCACGGCTGATGGGAACCAAAGTGACTGATATAGCCCGCAGAATCACTAAAATCAAGTGGCAGTGGGCGGGGCACATAGCTCGTAGAGCTGATGGCTGCTGGGGCAGGAAATTTCTTGAGTGGTGACCACGAGCCGGAAGACGTAGCGTGGGCAGGCCTCCCACTAGGTGGACCGACGATCTGGTGAAGGTTGCTGGAGGTGCCTGGATGCGAGTGGCGCAGGATCGGTCTTTGTGGAAATCCTTGGGGGAGGCCTTTGTCCAGCAGTGGACGTCTTTCGGCCGAAACGAACGAACGAACGGCTGATAAATTCTCATTTCATCTAGTTTCGTTGTTTTCACAGAGGATCTACTTGCTCTATTACAATGGCGAGCGCACCCTGAGAAAGTACAAGAGACGCTATTGCGAGTGTTGCGGTTAGGAGACGGGTTAAGCTGCGAAGAACTCATCAAATTTCTGCGGGATGTCCTTGACGCACTTTTCGCTTTGTTCTCTACTGAGGATGGAAACAGGTATTTAATATATGTACTTTTTAAAATTCTTAGAAAACTTATTTTTTAAACAATCCGAACGTTACATTTAATGTCATGGGTGTCATGCGTATCTTGTAATCAACTAGCTTCTACCGCGCCAATATCGACCTGATAGTCTTTGTCGCGCTTCACGCGATCAAAATCATTCGTTTATAACTTTAATTAATTAAATTGACATTTTGATCTTTACACCAAAATCAATTAATTTTTTATTCAAAGGCTTAGGCATTTGTAACATTTCACCAATTCGTATGTATTTGTAATCATAATATTTTGATTTCAGCACGCCACATTCTGGCACTGTGTTCCTAGTATTGGTGTCGATATGCAGCCTCTTAGACGAGAGCCGATTCCAGCATTTCCGGCCAGTGTTAGACGTTTACATCGAAGAACACTTCTCTGCTGCTCTCGTCTACAAGTAAGTGTAAAAACTATAAGTGCTAGGAGCCTCAAGCTTTGCATGGGGGTTCCTTTTAGAACACAAGTGCTCACTAAGACGGGATTTTGCAAAATTCAACCCCTTAGGAGGTAAAACGGGGTCAGCGCATACGAAGTCGCGGGCGGCCGCTAGTTTTTATTGCAACATGTACCATCCTAGACTGTATCTCACTTAATACCAGGTGCGATTGCGGTCAAATACCTGCCTTGTCTAGCATAAAAAAAATGGCAACATAAATTGGTTTTATTTCAACATTTCTCAACTATTGATGACGCACGTATACTAATTCCAAAGATTATTTAACAATAAAGCAGTGCCTAAACAGTTTCATGGTAAGAAAATAACACTTAACCACTCCTACAATATATTTCCAGAGGCCTACTGTCGTCAGTGCAACATTGCGCAGAGTGGGCGGCAGGTGCCGAGGGTCAAGAACCCATCCGCAAGTGTCTGCGCTCGCTCGGCGCAGTGTTCCGGCTCGCCGTGCGCTCGCGGCGATTGTTCGCGCGAGCTACCGGCGGCCAGTACGAGGACAGCTTCAGAAGAGACGTCAGAGCTGCACTACACGCGCTAAAGGCGCTTGCGCAGCATCCTCATAGAGAACATTTAGCTCCAGCCCAGGTGTGTAACTCATAATGACTTACATCAGTCGCACATTATTGCTAGCAAGTGTCTGCGCTCGCTCGATGCAGTGTTCCGGCTCGCCGTGCGCTCGCGGCGATTGTTCGCGCGAGCCACCGGCGGCCAGTACGAGGACAGCTTCAGGAGAGACGTCAGAGCTGCACTACACGCGCTAAAGGCGCTTGCGCAGCATCCTCATAGAGAACATTTAGCTCCAGCCCAGGTGTGTAACTCATAATGACTTACATCAGTCGCACATTATTGCTAGCAAGTGTCTGCGCTCGCTCGGCGCAGTGTTCCGGCTCGCCGTGCGCTCGCGGCGATTGTTCGCGCGAGCCACCGGCGGCCAGTACGAGGACAGCTTCAGGAGAGACGTCAGAGCTGCACTACACGCGCTAAAGGCGCTTGCGCAGCATCCTTATAGAGAACATTTAGCTCCGGCGCAGGTGTGTACAGCATAGACACTTATAATAGTCATACATTGGCATCCGCAAGTGTCTGCGCTCGCTCGGCGCAGTGTTCCGGCTCGCCGTGCGCTCGCGGCGATTGTTCGCGCGAGCTACCGGCGGCCAGTACGAGGACAGCTTCAGAAGAGACGTCAGAGCTGCACTACACGCGCTATAGGCGCTTGCACAGCATCCTCATAGAGAACATCTAGCTCCGGCGCAGGTGGGTAACTCATAATGACTTACATCAGTCGCACGTTGTTGCCAGTAAGTGTCTGCGCTCGCTTCGAAGAGACGTCAAAGCTGCTCATCACGCCTTGAAGAATGAAAGGCGCTGGCACATTATCCTCATAGAGTACATCTTGCTTCGGCGCAGGTGTGTAACGAACGCATATAGACTTATAATAGTCATACATTGGCATTCGCGAGTGTCTGCGCTCGCTCGGCGCAGTGTTCCTGCTCGCCGTGCGCTCGCGGCGATTGTTCGCGCGAGCTACCGGCGGCCAGTACGAGGACAGCTTCAGAAGAGACGTCAGAGCTGCACTACACGCGCTAAAGGCGCTTGCGCAGCATCCTTATAGAGAACATTTAGCTCCGGCACAGGTGTGTATAGAAGAGACACTTATAATAGTCATACATTGGCATCCGCAAGTGTCTGCGCTCGCTCGGCGCAGTGTTCCGGCTCGCCGTGCGCTCGCGGCGATTGTTCGCGCGCGCTACCGGCGGCCAGTACGAGGACAGCTTCAGAAGAGACGTCAGAGCAGCGCTACATGCGCTAAAGGCGCTTTCACAGCATCCTCATAGAGAACATTTAGCTCCGGCACAGGTGTGTATAGAAAAGACACTTATAATAGTCATACATTGGCATTCGCAAGTGTCTGCGCTCGCTCGGCGCAGTGTTCCGGCTCGCCGTGCGCTCGCGGCGATTGTTTGCGCGAGCCACCAGCGGCCAGTACGAGGACAGCTTCAGAAGTGACGTTCGCGTAGCTTTACATGCGCTAAAGGCGCTTGCGCAGCATTCTCATAGAGAACATTTAGTTTCGGCACACACAGGTATGTACACTATAACGACTTACAGTAGTCACACTTTGTTCTCCGCAAGTATCTTTGCTCGCTTCAAAAGAGCTACACGCATTGAAGGCGCTAGCGCAGCATCCTCATAGAAAACATTTGACTCCAGCGTAGGTGTGTAAATCATAACAACTTTATAGCAGTTATATGGTTATCCGCAATTGTCTACGCTCGCTCAGCTTAATATTACGCCTGATTGGTGTCTGTAAAACCAAAATTATGACATTATTATCAAAATATTTTATTCTATAGGTGGCGCTTATGACGTCCTGGGCTAGCGTAGCCAAAGAAGTAGCATCAGCACTAGGCCCCGTGGAAGCGGCGAGAGTGACCGCGTCTATGTTGGACGCGCCCGCAGCCAATGCACCTCCGGCTTTAGCTAAGGCCAGGCTAGCGGCCGCTCAAGAGATACTCAAGGGACCTTTAGGACAAGACCCAGGTAAGGAACCAGTCTTACATAATATAACTGAATTCTCGTGCTGTAAACCGACTTTAAATTTTTGGGAAGATCTTTAGATTGTTAATTTATACAGCTTTAACATCAGTACTCAGTATCATCTTCTAGCTAGACGCACGACGACGTCCACAACTGAACAACACAACAGCCAAATGTCATCGATAAATTAGTATCAGCTTCATGCCTAAACCGAAACACGTTATCGTTAAATCCAGTGCTTAACTCCCAATGAGGGTTTTCGCGATTGGAAAATCCGCCAGATGGCAATACGTAGACGCGAGGTCCAAATGCTGCATTATTGGTTATTTTTGACATGACATTGACAGATATGTCAAAATCCACCAATCATGCAGCATTTGGACCTCCCGTCTACGTATTGCCATCTGGCGGATTTTTCAATCGCGAAAACCCTCATTCTAAGCTTTGCCCCTTTCGTAATTTTTCAACATGTTTTTTTTAGTTTTAGGTCCATCGTTTCTATTCATAATCTCTTACATATTTCACAGAGGCTCGCAACATAGTGCTAACAACAGCGTGCCACCACTTACGAGTACACTTAGCAAGGCGCGACGAACTAGCTCAATGCGCTGATATGCTCGGCGAGCTAGTGACCTTACTATGGAAGAAGGAAGACCCGGACCAACCGGTGGATGAAGATGAGCTAGACCCGGACGTGGATGTTCTGTGTTTGAACACACTTGACGTTTTGGTGGAGACTGTGCTCCATCTTATTGGCGGGAATTCGCCGGTTTTGGTAAGTGAAGCTTTCTTACTGACTTATTGCGACAATTATAATCAATATAGATTTTACTGATAATTTTTCCGCCGCTTTTCCAAAATATTTTCAACCTTATTGCCTTGTTAAAGTGTCCTATACATAAAGATATAAAGACATGCCAACTAATGCGCTGAGTTCGAAACTCAGTGTCGCATTAGACATTCACACACACAAATTGATCAAAATATGTGTTCATTATCCACTGCGGTATGAGTACTCAACGTTCGAATTATCTTTAGTACGTCGCAAGCGTAAGCAATGTAAACTGTTTACATTATGACGTCGCTGCTGTCAGCATTGCTTTCACGAGCTATTTGTTCTGTTTTTGGGCATATTGCTGCAACACCGGCCCCGCCCCTTTGTGACATCTCCTTTAGTTTTTGTGATCTGTGGTCCTATACCATGTAAATCCTGCTACGCTATGTATTTAAGGTCGTTTATCCTACAGGGTTCAATGGTGGCTGGCCTGCTAGGCGCCATGGAGTTACTTCGACCGGCACATTACCAGCGATTGTGGAGCCATCTAGCGCCGCATCCTCACGACAGAAAACCACTGAAAGACTTCCTCATGAGAGCTTTCTTGGTGTTTAGACATCTCATAGAACAAGACGTGAGTGTTTTTGCTTTTCTTTTAAAGGGGCTACTTGGTTCCCTTCCTGTCACACAAAGCGAAATGTCAACATGAGTGACAATGACAGATAGACCCCGAAACCTGACACGAAACTAAGTGTATGGTCACAGAATAAGTAATAGTACAGGTACAGAAGGATTACTCCGCAAGACGATTTAAATAAATGCGAGTCTTGCTACGACGCGATACAGTGGAATGGGGATGTTGCCTGGGTCAAAAAGCAAGAGTTTTAATTAGTCCGTCAGTTAACTTATCAAAAAATACTCTACACGTATTTTTCACTTTTTCAAACTAATGAAAATTTAAAGAGATAAAGCGCCCCAAAGTTCATAAGAAGAGGCCCGTGACGTCAACGCTTGCTTAAAAATGCCGCACGTTGTGACGTCGTGCGCAACTTCAACGCACCATAACTATGTAATTATTTGTTAGATTGACAAATAAAAATATATGTGTCCAATATTTTTTGATATTCAACATTACGGACTAAAAAAATTTTTTTAGGCAACTAGCCTATTCAGCTCGCACAGCACTACGTACCTACAATTTTATTCACCTACAAGTTTTGACTCTTTCTATCGCGTGCCTCTGAACTCTTCTTACGCTGTTAGGGTTGCTGTCTAGTGAAAAAATAATTAATCTACTTATTTGTAATGAGGTACGTATGTAGGTAAGTACGCATTCATTATGGAAAACCTTGGGAGAGGCCTTTGTCCAGCAGTGGACGTCATTAATTGGCTGAAACGAACGAACGCATTCTGAGCAGTAGTCATGGTAGGTTAGGTTCCTATACTATCCTAAGAATTATTGATTACCTACATGGCCAACATACCTTTCAGCATCTTTTTGTAAGCGAAAAAAAAGATAAATCCGGTAGATTTCTTTTCGAATTTAAGCACCCGAACGCCGCACAATAATATTTATTTCTCTTTATGTCCATTTTTAAATAATACTTCGATCATAGAATTAGGTACTACAACGCACGCCAGCGTCCTGACGGGCGCGCGCGTGACACTCGACTGATATAATACCCGCCGGCGGGGCGCTTCGCTGTAGGTAATTATCGGATGTACCGCGCGGAGTGAGCCAGGCCTGGTATGGTGTTAGGGAGTAGCCGGTATAACTTATAACCAAAAACAGACTGTAGATGCCGTCTATCGACACACATTCATCGTGATTCACTATGTTAACCACGAACACTTTGGCAAGAGTGTATCGACTAGGAAGGAAAGAAGATATCGTGTGCAGTGCTTCATCTTTACTCCTTTTTCAATAGTCTGCTAATTTTGGGGTTTTTCTACAGGTGTTCCCAGCTGATTGGATGGTGCTACGCGTGCAGAGTTGCAAAGTGCTGCTATCAGCATTGCAGGACTTAGCTAAACCGCTACTAGAGAGATTTTTAGGAGAAGAACCTCCTCAATTTGATTCTCAGGTAATTGCACAGAATTAAAGATGGTTTATGGTATATTTGTAATTAACTTCCTCAGGCACAATTAATGTTTTCTGGTGATCCCTTTAAATGCAACTGTTTACATTACGTTATCAATGAAACTACGTGGGACAAAAGTTCTAGAGTGATGACCATGGATGAAAATACGTAATGGCAGGCCTTCCATTAGGTGGACCGACAATCTGGTGAATCTGGCGGAAAGCACTTGGATGCAGGTCGTTGTGGGAGGTATTTGTCCAGCAGTAGACGTCATTTGGCTGAAAAGATAGAGCAATTGTTCATTGCTGTGTTCTAGCAACGTTTATAAAATTTCTTTTACGCTTTTAAAGGATACTAAATTCACTAAACTCATTATCTTCCAGCTGTGGTCTGGCTATATGGAGCTGGGCGTGGCCTTGGTGACGTCAGGCGCTTTGCAGCCAGAACGCTGGGCGGGGCGTGGGCCTGACAGGCCGCGGGTGCGCGCCGCAGCCGGCCTGCAAGTGCTTTCTGTATGGAGCCGTCTAGGTGAGCGCTATAGTCTGGTCTGCGAGCAAGTAGAATTTGATCCAATGACCCCAAGCAACCCATCCTTATCGCTCGTGCGTAATTATGTTGCTGTCGCGCTCGCACACTCACTGCGGGCGCCCATCGCACAGTCGCGACAGCAATATAATTACGCGCGAGCGATAAGGATGGGTAGCTTGGGGTCATTGGACAAAATTGTACGTGCTCGCAGACCGGGCTTTAGACTTGGGCTGCGGGGGGCCAGAGGGCTCGGGTGACGTCAGTGTTGCCAGTGCCAGTGATGTGATGATGTAAATCGGACTCTGAACTATTGAATCAAAGACGTTATGTAGACTATAGGATTTGGAGTATTAAAAATGTTTTGCTGTTCCAATAACTCGTGAATTGGTTTTTTGACACAAAAATTACATAATTATAAAAAATCGTACATTTAGATTATTCTTACCTTGTCCACTAATCTTAGGCTGGGTTGCACCCATTTTACTTTAACTATAACAAACGTCAAAATTCTGTCAACTCCATAAACACCGGTTATGGATATAATTACGATTATAAGGTGGTGCCACTCAGCCTTAATATAAGTCACGCAATTTTTTTATTTCATTTCCACCAGGCCCAGCCCAGCTACATCTAGTCCCAGGCGCAGTAGGAGCATTACTAGAGATCACTCTAGTCGGCGAGTTGCGTAGAGCAGCCTTGGGTGCTCTAGTAGCGTTAATGGCTGCCGAGCGAGCGGCCACCGGCTCTGCTAGGAGAACCGAAGCGGCCCTGGTCGATAAGCTGGACTCGCTGGTAGCTGATAACAAGGCCGACGACCATTATAGACGGCTGTTTGACACTGTGTGAGTATGATTGGGACTTTTAGTTTTGTTTGTGTAGTAAAATGAAGCTAATCTGTGATATTTTCAGGCAGAGGGGATTTTTAAAGCGATTATTATAGGTCTAGGGGTCAACGTAAGTCAGTGCCTGAGGCTTGGGACCGTCACGGAAGGGTGTTTTTGTGACTTTTAAACGTCACCGAGACTTCATAATAGACATGTTGACACCACCAGTCAATGAGGGCTATCGTTTTAGCGCTCACCAGTTAGCGCCACTGTAGAGTAAGGTCCTGTCACTTGCTAGTCGCGAAGACAGTGGCGCCAACTATTAAGCTCTAAAGTGGTAGGAGGACTATCGCATTTGCACTCATCAAGATGGCGCCACTGTAGAGTAAACGGCTGAACCATTTAAGAACCTAGTAAGGGACACTTTTGCAGATTTTCGTTTTTTGTCATAAATCACCTTAGAATTAAGGTCTCCACAGGATGTGAAGACAGAAATCGCTCTATTACACTTAGAACCGGAGAAACGCGTTGCTAAAAACCTAGTAAGTTCAATTTAAATCTGCAAAAACCATTATCAAAACCTAGCAAGTTACAATGACCATTTAAAACCTAGTAAGTGCATGGACTTACTAGGTTTCAAAATGGTCAATGTGACTTACTAGAGGTAAAATGCTACTGTAATTTAAATATTATTTCGAGTTCTGTTGGCTGACACTCGATAACCATATCAAAATCTGGGCTCTACATGAGTACTGATTCATATTCGATTTGGATTTTGATTTTTAGGAGGCACTTTTGTCAAAAAAATATTTTTTAGTGTTAGTAAAGAGCATAAAACTTGCTATTTTTAACTAAATATATTCTTTTATTCCATAAAGTATACTTTAGTAACTAATCTTTAATATGAACATCGGAAGTTATCCAAATCTTTAAGCATCTTAGCAGGGCAAATGAAAATGCGTTTTTTCGCTCTCCTGTAAAATTTGCTCCGCTGCACTTACTAGGTTCTTAAATGGTTCAGCCGTAAAGTCCTGTCAATCGCCAGGAGTGCCAACTGTTAAGTATAAAAACGATAGCCCTCATTGACGTATTTTTTAAAACTGTCAAAACGAAACTCTCCCATAGATTTTGTATGGCACTACAAGCAAGTGACATCACTATTTTGTCAACTCAATTAAACTACGTTTTTTTCAATTACAATGCGAACAAAAATCGTAATTTACAGGTAATTTAAAATTAATTAAGTTTTTAAGACCAGAATGAAGGGTCTTTTTAAAACAGTTGTGGTTTCGGGGTGTGGTGTCAAAGTGTCTAATTATATTCTTCAGTACGCTCTGTCACGTAATAATATTATTATGTCGATGTCACCTCTCCCGTGCCGCTTCTATACCTCAGGAACTGACGCCTATTGAGCGCTATGTTATACCTACAGTATCTTTTGGTTGACATTTGAGGAGTGTCTTTTCAAAAGGGGATACCTACATTCTATCTTATTTTTCACAAAATGGGAAAAACTTATATGGGAAATATTTGCAGACCTACCGAAAAGCATTATTTCTGTTATGAAACTATTTCATTACAGTGTTCTAACTACACTTTTTGCCAAAAAATATGACTTGTTAATTTAAAGTTACAGAGTTCAGAAAAATCATAATATCCTCTTTTGACACGGATCTTTTATAATATCCCCCTTTGTTCTGTACTTACTGTAAATATCCCCTTTAGTTGAGCCTACTATTTTGTAAATATCCTCTTTTGTATTGTACATCTCAAAATTTTAAATGATAATAAAACACAGATTATTCTTTTTTTTAAATAATAATAATGACCAAAATTAAAGACGCTACTAAACAGAATTATATTTTTTTAATTATTAGACATTCAAATCCTGAGCCCCGATTACGGTAATATTTAACGTCTACAATCCAGACACGNAAACAGCTGACGTTGACTGACAGCTGACTGTTTTGACCAATCGCATCGCAGAATCGAAGAAGCGTGTCTGGATTGTAGACGTTAAATATTACCGTAATCGGGGCTGATTTGTCCAATATCAGGTGTCAGACAATCACACAACATAGATTCCGTTTTACGTTAATTTTGCGTTCCGTTGAGTAAAATGTCTAAAAATAAATCCTAAGGCATAAAGTTAAAGGAAATAAAACACTATGTAAAAGTAAATATCCCGTTTTGAAACGGCTAATTGGTATAGTGTAAATATTTGTATTGTAAATATCCTCTCTTGTTATGAAATGAAAAATAACTATTATTTTTTTAATTTTGTAAGTGTAAATATCCTGTTCTGAAATGAACACTCATATTTGAAGCTGCTTTACTTGGGAGAATATCCCGTTTTGATTAAGATTCAAGTGACGAAAGTGAGTATTCAGCACTAAGAACAAGACTGCATACTCAGTTTAATAAATAATAAAAATGTAAATATCCCCTTTTGAATAGACACTCCTCATTTTATGTAGGTGAGTGCGGGTGTAGATAAAACCTAGCATTAAATAAAATATTGGGATATGACTGTGGGTAACGTTACGTTATTCAGAATACCAAGTAAACGCTTTGTTATATCATAATAATATAAAATATTCACTGACCTAATACATCATTTTACACGCTTCAATGGTTCAGGGAGCACTTGAGTTCCGTGTAAGTATACAATTTTCATTCCTTCCTCAATGCATTAGTAGGTGTTTGTGCTTTTAAAAGACAAATAGTGTTATGCAAGTGTTATACTTCTAAAGTGCGTAAGTAGGTAGATATCGTGAGTTTTTCCATGTCCAGGTAGATAGGCGATTAAGTAAAATGCGGGTATTGTATAATAGCCTTTATTGTGTAGGTTGATGGAGCGAGTTTCGACTGAGGGTTGGCGTGAGGCAGGGGCGGCTTTCGTGGGATGTGTCACGCGGCTGCTAGAAAGATTGCTAGACTACCGCGCCGTCATGCAAGGCGCCGAGCATAGGGACAAGAGAATGGCTGCCACTGTCAATCTGCTGGTAAGTAGGTTATTCTATGTCTATTAGGTAGGTTTATTTACGTGTAAAGGGATTGAGGAGAGAGTGAACAGGTTCTCGAGTAGAAATCATGTCGCGACTAACGTATAGGATGCAAAGGACCGGCAACTATAGGAAAATAGCCAGGTAGTGATAGAATTAAATAAACCGGAGGTCTTACTCTGTTGAGTGCTTGCGGCTCAAGTCTAGGAGTGGACAGCAATCGGCTGTCATAGTAAAAGAGAATAGAGAAGAACAGACATCCTAAAATTACCAAACATTTGAAAGAAAAAAGCATTTTTTTTTAAATAAATATCTTTGGACAATCTCACACAGCGCCATCTAGCCCCAAAGTAAGCAATTAATATGCTTGTGTTATGGGTGCTAGCTTAACGGATATACTACTTATATACTTAATTATTTGGAAGTAATATCATTGGATTTAAAGTTTACTTTTTTATGTAGTGTATAGAAATAGTAATGGACATGGC